TTCTCAGCATCACTCTTCTGGTATTTATAAGCAGGGTTATAAACATTAAAAAATTAGGGACATGCTGCATAAAGTGTGATTATTATTATATTTTAGGGTTTTATCACAGCCCTCAAGCCCCTCATTAGACTACAGTAAAGTTGTATTTTTGATAGTGAGCGCAGTGTTACGCAGCCTATGAGCTTAGCAGATTTATGCAGAGCTTAAACTTTGTAGAACTTGTGTCTGTAACAAAACCCAAAGGGAAATAAGCAGAGATCTCTGTAGCATATTCTGTCCCCCGGAATTAATTCCAAGGCCTATGACAAAGACCACTAATTTGTAATAGTTCTGGCTGTACTTCACATGACCTTGGTGAATGCCGCCTTGGTACATTCACATGTACACATGTATGAGAGGAAATGTTTGTGTCTGAATAACACCTATGTATGTGGGTGCAGAGCAACCCTGTCTTGTCTTAAAACTGCCTGACAAAATTGATCTAAACTGAAAGTTGTAGCAAGTAAATGGCCACATTTCAAATTAATCTTAATTAGTAATGCATCTTGTCTGTCACTGGAATGAGCCTATGCTGAGTTGAGCCTTGTAAATATGTTCCTTGACAGAGCAAAAGAATCCAGCATGTCTTCTGTGGGCTGTTCTCCACTTATAACTCATGGGCATTGATAGGGAATGTTCTGGGTATTTTAAACAAAAATACCTTAAAATAACCAAAAGAGTTCCGAGCAGTTGAAAGCAGCAGTTAAAACCAGGAGAACCGCTTTGTCCCTCTCTTTGGAGCTGAAAATCAATTCATTTTAAAAAGTAAGTCACCGGAATAAAGCATTTCCCCACACCAACAGCAGAGTGCTGTACAACGAGTTTTAAAGCACTTTTCACTGGAGAACTGGAAAACACAAAATCTGAGACTCAGAGCTGGTATCTCCATTTCAGATGCAGGAGATAGATATGTGATTTCCTGCACACTATAAAGTGAATCTGTCATGGGCTTTCTCTTAATGTGTAAAAACGAGGTATGGAAGTTTTTAGTGCTGTGTTTAATATCATGGTACTGAATGGCCAGTATGCAAATGAACAGGAAGGAAATTTATGTATGGTATCACTGATTTTTTTTTTATTTATTTTTAATAAAACCCAAACCAACAAAAAAGCAAACAAGCCAACAATTAAAATAATTCAAGTTTGTTCCTCTAATGAAGTTCAAACTCTTGTCCAAGAATTGTGCCATTATCAGCTGTATGTTACTTTATTTTTCCAACTACACTATTAGAAGTGCACCCATGGGAAGCTGATGATTACCATTGTACAGTCACTTTAAACCAAGCAGAACATGTCTGAGAATAAATAGCACCTTTTCAACTCTTCTTGAGTAATTGTATGGAGTGATTTCCTTCCCATGCACCACTTCCGTCACTGCAAAAGAACTCCCAAGTCCATTGTAGGGTGGTTTTGATCAGGCTGGCCACCATGAAAGTGTACACCTCTCCTAGCAATAGCTGTGCCACTTTGCCATTAGGCTTCTGAGAACAAGCTACTTGATAATTAAGTAGCTGCCGTCTTTAATATGGTAATGTGTGGTATAAATGCCTTCAGCACTTATAAGGGGAAGTGTTTCTTTGAGATGTATGGCTTGTGCAACTGTTGGCAGTGATGGGCAAGAGAAAAATCTTCCTGTGTGCTGAGAATGTAAAGAGTATGTCAGTAGTGTGCTAGATAATGATGGCTTGCTCCTTTTTAAATGTTCTCCTCGTATGCAGAAGAAGCTTCATCTCTCTTCCTACTGTTTGACACCAAACACCAAAAAAGTACCTAAAAGGAGCTCAGGGATCCCACAGTCTATACTTGGTAGACTGTGTTGCTCTGTGGAGATGCCTCTCGTCGTCTGTTACAGAGGTAGCCCAGGGCAAGCCAGCTCCTAAACTAAGTGCTTCAATAAAGCCTCTGCAATTAAATGTGACAAACTCAGGCACATTTGATTGGGCTGGCCTCTCAAAACTTTGGAGATGTGTTCTGCAAGGGGGGGTGGACTGGGTGCCACCCAACCATGCTGCTGTGCAGCCTGTGCCTGGTGCAGTTGTTTTCACCTTAATGTATCAAATGGTATTAATTTGTTTCTTGATAGCTAATGATTTTTTTTATTTTCCCTCCCCTTTTGAAGAAGTTGCTGGAAAAACTGTCAGATCTTTTTGAGCCATTTGCAAAACATAAGGGAATGCACATCATAGAGCTTAATCGTGTTATAAGAGATTGTTACTCTGAAAGGCAAACTATTTTAGCTCTATTGTGTTATTGTGCCATTAGTACCTTTGACTGCCAACTGTGCAGCAGCGGGGCTCCAATCAATGGGGGCCTATGTGTATTTTCCATTGCAAATAGTGCCAAGGATAGGAGGGAGAGAGGCTCTTAGCGGTACAATTTTTTCAGTGATTAATAATACTTGAGATCCATTTCAGTGATCAGAAATGTGTCTTAATGAGACAATTAGTCAAAGCATAAAAGCTGCACAGTAATTTAGTTGGTGTTACTACTGGAATAATTTGCTGCCACTGTTTTCTTCCTCCTGATTTGACTTTGTCACAATAGGCTGGGTGAAAGACATTGTAGAGAGGACTTGCAGGCTAGGTTCAGCTTTCAAATGGCCATGATTATCTGTGGGGCAGATAATCTGTTTAAAAATGAGGGAGACTTTGAGGAAAAAAAAGTGGTTGTTTCACATATAAAACCCTGAAATGCCTTTGTCCAATTGGCTACCTTCAAATAGCCAGCTTTCTGCTAGTGCCATGGCAACTAATCACAAGTAGCATTTGGGGGATGAGTACCAAACTGAAAGGGCTACTTCAAGTTTGTATTTGTTTTTCCCTCCTGTAACAAAAGCACAATAACAGGGCTTGAGATTTCTTGATGCATTCTAGCTGTCTGTGTTCAAAAATGTCTGATGGAGCTAATTTTTAATCTCACTGGAGGATATCTCATCATCATATTAAAAATCTTTTTCATCTGTTTCTGATCTTTCACGATTTGGCTGTAGTATCACTTTAAAGAAAAGTGAGAGCAGTTGTTCTCAAGCCATACTTGAAGTTTGCTGCTCCTTTTTTCACCCTGAAGCCTTGTGTTCCTCAAAGTTTGTTTGTATTTATTCCGTGTTGATCTATTAAGGCTTAATATCTCCCTACACAACTGCTGTCACTCTGACTTGGAGGTGTGTCAGAAGTGTCCACAGGGTGATGGTGCAGAAGGCACTGAATGCAGCAAAAAACCTTAGTTTTAAAAAAACCGAACTAGTCACATTGGTGACTGCCTGGAGTGTTTCGATTGATGTTCAGGGTGTTCTGTGCTCAAGAAGTCTGAGGGGTTTGGGGAGCAAAGAATTGACATTACTTAAACTAACTTTATCTAATTAATTTTCAATTACCTAGGAGGCCAATAGACAATTTACTGCCAGAGCACAAGGCCATCTGTTGGTTTCCCACTGGCAAATGCAGTAGGGTGGGTTTGTTTTAAAGCCCCTCCCTGTGCTGAGGGCTGCACTGGGGCTGAAGGCTGGAGCTGGGCTGCAGTGCAGGACAGGACAGTAGTTACGGGGTCAGGGTTACAGCAGGGTGTGAACAAACTTGCTGCTGTCCTGGGCAGAACTAGAGTGGGCCAGATGCTGAAATCCCTGTCTGCTTTCTGTGAATGCACGCAGTGCCTTTGTGACCTGTGCCAAGCTTAATTGTATTGATCTTCTCAATACAGATCAGTCTGCATGTGTCCACTTTCTAACCTTGTCATGCCAGAGTTTCAGAGCACAAACGTGTTTCAGACTTCTAAAGTGACAATAGTTTCTGTTTCTCTTGACTTTTTGAGTATTTTTTTTTCCTCACCAAATAATGTTATAATCCCTCTGTCATCTACAGGTCACAGGAAAGGGACTATATTTGAACACTGTAATTGTGTTATTTTGATAGCAGTTTTGTGATAAATCAGTGTTGCTGAAAATGTGGTTTGTTTATTTATAACTGCAGCTGTCTCCCTGCAGGTTGCAGCTGATAGGAGATACCAAGTGATTCTTTGGTTTTATGCTGGACAGCCTATCTCTCCTGCAGCTGCACTAGAAACTACAGCTTTGCTGCCTAGCACACCTGAGCCTTAACAAATGCCATGTTTCTTTATTCAGACCACTCTGTTGGGATGCGAAGACTAACCTTTCTTTCATAAGTAATTATGAGCCAAAGAGAAAATCACTCAGGGTAGAATCATGTAATATCAGGTTCATGTGGTCCAGCCTTTCCTGGCACAACCACCATTCTGGAGTATGGCTTTTTGCAAACTGCTGAATTCTCCGGTCTCAGAAGTGTTTTTTTAAATGAAGTTGAGGTTGAGAGTATATGTTGACAGATCAGGAGCAAAAAAGAAACTTTCATACTTGAGTTATCTGGGGGGAGGGGAAATAGAAAGAAAAAAGCAGCATTCCATTACTGGAATATCAGTTGTGGTGGCACGAAGTCATCTTTAATCCTGTCCTTATGGCTATGCCAACTTTTTTCTCTTTATACCTTTGGGCTGTGTCTAAAGATGCACGAATATCCTGAGACATTTCTGGCCAAGAGAAGATTGGAACCGGCACATCTGTGTGAATATGTATGGGTTAATCATCAGCTATGAATGACTTTGAAATTGCTGTCTTTGACATAGGAAACTTTCTAGAAGTTGAAAGAATGAAAGATATCCAGGAGCTTCATGCTTCTTTTAATTACAATAAAATTATTATAACTACATGCATGTCAGAGTTCTATATGAATTTGTAATATTCAGGGTGGTAATGTATGACTGGTTCTGGAAAAGGTGGTATATGTTCTTATTTGGTTGACACATTGGATGCAACGAGCAAGATTACATAGAGCTTCATTAAATGACCTAGAAGTGTAAAGACTGTATCCGACTGTATCCTGACATTTCTAATATCTTTGTATTGCAAGTAAATCACCTGACAAAACCAAGGTAAAGGGGAATGGGTCCCTGTAAATCAGTAAGCATTTAATGCTGCTCTTCTGGCTTCTCCACAGAGTGGATACAACTTGCCATCACCTCCCAGAGGAGGAAAAACACAACTTACAAAGTATGTGCAAGTAAATTTATTCTCATTTTACATTTATGTTTCGTTCCCTAACATCTACATTCCTTTGCATTTTCCCTCATAGTACTTGGACCCAGCTTGGCTTTACCCTGGTTAGCTGTACAAGCTGAGATCGATTTAGCTTTGATCTGGATTTGAAACAGAGAAAGAAATGAATGCAGCAGTGCAGGCAGTTCAGCAGCTGGTAGCATGGCCTATTAAGTCAGGACGTCACTGTCTAGTGTAATCCAGAAAACCCAGTGTATCTTGTGGGAAGACATTTACAGCTGAAATCTCCTGGTTCCTGGCTTGTCTGTCTCCCTGTCAAGAAGATAAAACCAACCTGAAAGTTGTGTTGGAAATGTCCTGGGAATCCTTGGTCAGTTTTTTGCTTTCTCCACAACTCCAGTCGCCAGCCCTAGAGAGGCTGTTGAAAAGTGGGGAGATGAGAAGCAGTAACTTGCAGCCTTTCTCTGGAAGCCACTTACACAGGAGATGAGAAAACTTGAGCCCTGAGCTCCTCACCTCACCTACAGCAAAGAATGATTAAAAAGAAATCGTTCTGTGTGAGGCACTGGCATGGTGTTACCTGTGTTTTGCTGGGGAGGGAAAGAGGGAAGACAAAAAACCCACATAAACTAAGGCCCAAGCAAAATATGGCATGAACTATTTTGAAAGCAAAAAGATACTCTAATATCTCTGCGGACTAAAACCTAGCAGGTTTTCTTGTCACTGTGTGCTGGTGCATACGAGAAGGCCCCAAAAGGCGCTTTCCCAAGCATGGCCTTAACTCCCAAATCATCCTCTCTTCCTGACTATGCCCTTCAAATTACCTCCAACATAAAGGAGTGCAGAGCTTTAAAGTGTTAATGTTGACAGAAACTGGCTGTTTATGTCTAGGAAGCACTCAGTTCAGAATGTAAGTGCTTTGAGTAAGAGACTGCAATGAATGAAAGTCTCTACTCTCCAAAATCCAGATCATTAATGCTGCAGTGAAATACGGTCTTGCCGTTGACCACCAGCTCTGCAGTGTTCCACTCTGGTATCTGTTTCAGAATAAGCTGATGTTCATCTGCTTGCAGAGCAGGTGGAAAAGGGCAAAGCAGTGGCCAGTACAGTATTGCTTCATTTCCTCTGAATTTCCTCTAAGCTTGAGCACTTAGGAGGGCAAAGAGTGAAAAACAGTGTTAATGTAGTTAGGTGCTGTACAAAATTCCCCACAAGTCCTATCAGCTTTGATCTTTGGCTTCACTATTATTACATTAATGTATCTCCTTTGAATGGAGCCTCCACCCTCTGTCATTTCTCATTCTAGCAGTAAAAGGCAAGAAATTCATTATGTACTTGTATTTGCTATTAACTGGCACAGCAGCCATAAGAAATGCAATGTATTTATTTGTAAGTACCATGGAATAAGGCTAAATTCAAAAGAAATCTCCAATAAATGTTAAGATGGTGCTATGGAACAGCTGGAACATTAAGTGAACAACCTTGATAACCCAATTGTTCATTGACGCATAATTCATTTTGCTTCTACTGAAAGAGTAATTCCTCAGGACATTAGAGATTTTGTGAACCTGAGAATCAAACCAGAAGGGACAAAATTCTCTCTTAACCCACGTATTTGTTTAGATAAATTATGTGCTTTTGGGGTTTATTATGTTGCATTGTATAGGGTTGTAAATTAGTCAGAACTGGAGAAATAAGAGAACTGGCTGATAATGCAATTCCAGCAACACAGAAATGCTACATGGTTCTGCCTGGGCCCCCCAAAGATGTACATACTTTTTAATTCATCTTACTCTGTTGACTTGTTTTACAAGGCAGAAGCAGATTTCCTGTACAGTTGGCAGTTGGGACCTCACCTTTCCCAGTTTTTATCAGCTATGATGTGTTAAGCCGGAGACCCCATACTGACCAACCCACATCAGCTATTTTGGCAGGTAGGGTTAGCAGTTCCTCTGTCCTGGTTCCGCTGTAGCTGTATGATTTGCAGGAGTTGGTGGTCCTCAAACATTTAACCTGACTGCGTCCATCTGTGACAGCTCTTTGCAGCATTTTAATTCAACTTATTGCCAAACTACAGAAAGTGGCTGAAAAAGGAGTCTGGTTCATAAAGCAGCATGCCATCAGCTTCTGCTGCTGTTGTGTCATCCTCGGAAGGTGGCTTTCACTGCTTCCTAGCAGACTTCTGGGGCAATCTCTGGCAATCAATTCACATTTATAAAATGGGTGAGAGAGATGACATCACTGTATTGTCAACTCTAAATTAGAAAAAAAACACCCAAATCTACTAGTTTCTCTAGGTTGAGGCCTGGACTCTCTTGGTCCATGACGGGTACATTGCAAAGACCTAGCAACCCCAGTAAGAAAATCTAAATGAGTTGCCAGTAGCACAGATATTGCATTAACTCATGCTCTTTGTAAGTTTCTAGTGTCAAGCAAATAGTGTTTTTTCTGTTACTGAGTTTACCTTTCTCTTATTGGACACATCTAAAATGTGATCTAAAGCCTTTATAATCACAAAATGTTATTTATGCGAATACTTTACGTCATACAGGCATGCATACAATTTGATTTACCTTCGGTGCTAGCTAACCCTGCAATACTCTGAGGCGCTGCTCCTCTGCCAGACCTGTGATGAGGCCCTTTCAAGCCCTGGGGCAATGCTCTGAGCTGCACAGCCCGGTTAGTGCCCAATGGAAGGAGTCGGGCTGCAAGCGGGACCAGTTGGGGTGAGCCCCGCTCCAAAGCAGCTCAGCTGCCCCTGAGCCGAGGTGCCTGCTGCCCGCCTTAGGCTGATGGCTGGGCATTCAGGTTGAGCTGTAAGGAGCAAAAATTACTTTGTACTCCCCAGTACTTTGCTTTATAGCTAAATTTGAGCTTAAACATTTTCACCTTTGGTTTACAAGTTTATTTCAAACGGGTTTTAATGAGGTTTGTGTAACTGTAGAAGAAAAATATATACACACTGTAATACAAGCTAATTTTAGCAAATGTGAAAGATGGAAGTGTCTGTTCTTTCTGAGGCGTGTTGAAGAACCAGCTCTTTCCTTTGTCATGCACATAATGTGACTGGTAGAGCCTCCCTTCACAGGCTGTGAGCCACCCTGTGCTGACACCCTGCGGTACTGCCCATTAGGGGCCATTACCAGTGCTTTCCGGATGTCCCTCCCTTGAGAGGCCCATGGGCTCCCGTGCAGCATGGTGGGGTCAAGGAGCTTGTGGGGCAGGGGCTGCCTGACACAGAAAGGCAACAAGGTCTTCGCTCTGGTCGTTTTTATTGGCGGTGTGGAACAACATCTTTACATAAGCTGAATTTGTGTCACCAGCGTACTCTTCAGGTCACATACATTAATATAGACAGATAAATATATCTCAGTAGAGCACAAAACGTAACAGAAACAGTGTGCTGTAAATACACATTTACATTTGTCATAAATCTATACTATTGTATAAAAATAAAAGTATCACTAAAATATTTTTGTCTTTGCAACCCATACATCAGAAGTTCAGCTGTAAGTCACAACCACGTCTTGCTCAGCTATGGATCGCACAGGAGTGCTCAGGGGGTTGAGATCAGGGTCTCACCCCGAAACACCACCACTTGGAAGTCAAGTTCCTTTTGCTTTTGTTTACTGTGAATATAAATATTCACAAATATTGTCTTTTTAATTTCTACATCCCATTTCTACACATGGGTGTACCCCTACAGAGAGAGTGAAACCATTACCTTCTTAAAAGTCGCTTGTGCAGGGTTTGTACGATCCCAGTACCACTGAGAGGTCTCATTAAATCATTGCCACTTCATAGAAACCTCAAATGGTTTAGGTTGGAAGGGACCTTAAAGATCATCCAGTTCCAGCTGCCTGTCATGAGTAAAGCCACCTTTAACTAGACCAGGTTGCTCAAAGCTCCATCCAACCTGGCCTTGAACACTGCTAGGGATGAGGCAACCACAGATTCTTATATTAATGAAATTACACATAGCTCATTGATGAAGATTTTCTCCCTTTTCATGATGAACAATCTATTCCATAATCTTCTGTTTGGAAACATTTTAAAATCCTCACATTTGATTTCCATAAATGCATGTGCACAGGCTGTGTATTTTTCAGGAGAGAACTTAAGTTGTATAATACATGTATTTTAAAATAAAAACCTAAGAAAAGTGCCTGTTTCCTGAAATGGGACCATACCACATGGATTCTGTAGAGGGTTCTGTTAACTGAGAAGCAGCCTAGTCCCTTATGAAGCTCCTGCTGGCAAACACAAAAATTCATAATGCCCTGTGCCATGAATTTTATCCGTGATTTAACCAGGACCCTCCAATTTAAACATACCTGAACTGAGTCTGAAGTCTCTTGAACAAAGTCTGGTACTTTGCAGATACTACTTTTAATGCGTATTAGCTGAGGTACACAAATGCCTTCCTCTGCAGGGACCGAGTTCAGTGAAGCTGCTCATTCAGGCACTCAAGCTGAATACTAAAAGCAGCTCACTAAGTATCTGAGATACAAGTATGGAATGGTTGTTAGCTAAATAAATAAGAAGTATGAGTGATCGTTCATTTCTTCCTCAAGTAAAAATATAGTGTTAGTATTTTCCATTATCAGTTTCCAGTGCTGGAGAATCCAAAACACCCGTTATGGCAGCTGTAGACAAGGAAGGGATGCTTAATGATAAACTGGTGTGCTCATAGTGTCTGCCTGAATTCTCAGTGGCTGTGTGGTGAGTACAGTGCATGAGCTGCTGTTGTAATTCCAGCCAAAGAAGTAAAATGAAAACACAGGTAATATTTGCAAATAAGTATCAGTACCCATGGAACTAAGAATGCAAAATAAAATTATGTGTTTCATTAGAGGCAAATTAATAATCAAATAACTATTCACAGCATTTTTATGTCCTTATATGGTTATAATTTTAGACATACAATTCTATGAAAAAATTGTAGTGTTACATTTATGTTGAAAATGCAGAATGCATTTGTAGTGACATGACACTGAACAAAGCAAAATTACTGGGAAAGTTTCAAAGTAATTTTCATAATTATAGTATAGGAACAATTTAAAGTCATGTTTTGAACAGTATATTCATTAAGTGAACACTTGGTTGGACTAACAGTCTAACGGTGTTCTTGCTTGTTTAACCGTTTTTCACTTTGGGACAGCTTTTAAGCCAGAATATTATTTACACAATCTAAAAATAGATTTTGTCTTTGGTTTGAACCACAGCTCATGGAGTAATAAAACATACATATTTTTAAGTGTATGCATTAACTTAAAAAAATGAGCCCAGCTTTCCGTCACTATAAGTCATCACGGTTGATTTGCTCCAACATAGCTGACTTTTGATTGAGCTCCAACTGATTATCAGGCCCACTGTGCTTTCATATATGGGGTTGTGGGTAGCCTTTATCCAGCAGACTGCTTAATTGCATGTACACAATGCCAAAGAGCCAGTAAAATAAGCATGGATGTATATGATCTATTGAATCTGTATCTAGAATTCTCGAACAGAAACATATCTGCCCTTCAAGTTTATTGTAATAAATCTATTCTCCTGCTCTTAGGCTTGGGGGTGCTTAAGCATGTGATTGTTCAGTCTATAAAGGAAGAAGAAACATCTACACTTCTCCACAGGCAGGTAAGCAGTCCCTGGCCAGGCTTCCAAGTATGCTCCAGCTTGCCTAGCAAAGGACCCTCACTGGAGTTAGTGCATGTTCTTTTAGACAGTAAGTTGTGTTCTAACAATGATGACTGAACACCTCTAAGCAAGGTAACATATTTCAGCTCGAAAGTGCCTGAAACTGTCAGTCCTTTGAAGGATTTGTAGGGAATGAAAGAGATAAAGAGAAAAACCTCACGATAACACTAGCAGACTATGGGAATTACGAGATACCATATTATTTTCCTGATTGAATTTACTGTCTATTGCAGAATATGATACCCTACATCTACTATTAAAAATATAAAATATAAATCCCTCCCAGATGGGTTGATGCAAAGGTGATATGAGTACCAGTACTCTTAAACTGGTATTTATAGCACTATCTTGGAGACTTCTTTATATTGCAAGTTTGCTCTTCATTCTAGTAATTTATTGCTCTTTGATTTTGTTTGGTTGCATACACATTCCTGCTAGTCACAGTGACTAAATTCATTCCTGTGCAAACAAAAAAGGTCTAGAGTAGGATTGAATTGCACTTATGCTTTGTGCTTTGCCTCTCTGTCAGATTGGATTTTGCTCACTGATAGAATGAAATAATTAAGTCAATTCATTACAGACAAAATTCTCACAGCTCTCTGTGATGATGGATCTTCTCTCCAATATGCTGCTTTCAGAATAGTACTGTGCTTGAGGCCAGTGCACACCAGAATAAATACTAAACTATTTCTGCAGCATTTCTATATTGGGGGAGCATGCAAACACAAGTGGAAATCTGTCTGTGGAAATACAAGGTGGGAACTCTCAAACGTTTTCCTTACATAGTAAATAGAATGGTGGAATTAAATAGTTTTCATGCAAATTTTCAAGATTTAATGGCATCAGCCTATTATTTACAGTGTTTATTTCAACATTCCCAATAGGGGAAATGTCTTTGTATTTTTTTTTCCTCTACATGCAAACCTTGCAGGAATAGATATGCATATTTTAGAACTACTTGCAGGGAATATTAACTAATTGGTGTGCCTTAGTGTTTAATTTATGTCATACACAAACTTACTCAATTCTTTAGGTGATAAAATGGCAGAAGTTAATTATGGTTAGAAGTGGTAGTACAACACATGCTTGTATTACTTCCTCCTTCATTTCAACCGGTGAGACCAAGCCTTTTTGCCTGGTGAGGTTTCAAGTGAGAAATGTTAGATTTAGTACATACAGCGTTTTAAATGTTGGCAGCAATGTAAAACAAATGACATTTTGGTTCTACACTAAGGTATTACTAGTACTATCTTGCCTTTGAAAGACTGTGTCATTGCTTCTTCATCAGGTGGATTCAGGAGAATATTTCTCACAGCCTTTCAGAGCTTGCGGTCACTCTGCAGCTGTGTGGCTGCTTCTTGTTTAGCAAGTGGCTTTGCCACAGTGGAACTGCACTTGTTGCACAGATCTCTCACTTCTAGGAGACTTTCTTCCACAGCTTTTGCAAACATGTCTGAGGAGGTTTCTTTACAGTCTTTAAAGCTTGAGATGCAGAATAATATATGCTCTGGTTGAGGGTTATAACATGCCCCATAACCATTGGGCACCACAGGCCCATAGCAGCAGAACATTTCCATAGTAGTTGGGACCTGGTTGCAGGGAGAAGGTAAGGAGTGATCTCTAATTAATCAGGGCAACTGAAATCAGCTGGTTAGCAATGAGGAAAAAGATAAACAAAAGCTACAAGTCCTAGAAATGTGGTGAGTTCCCCCTGTGCAGTATCACTGCCTTCAGAAGTCTGGTACTAGAAACTGACACTTAGAAGGTAAAGGTTGATCTCACTATAGAATTTGGTTGCTCTGTTTGTTTGCCACAGTTTGAAAATGGGTATAATTTAAAGTGAATATGGTATTTCTTTGCTCACTTTCTGTAGACCTGTAACAGCTATAAGCTTTTCTACTGATAGGGAATTTTTAAGGCTATGTGAAATTCTGATATACAAAATTATGATACATAAAACTTCTCTGAGGTTTTTAATGTTAAGGTTATCTTATGGTTATGTTATACTTGTAGTGCGAAGACTCTAATCATAGAAATTAATATTGTCCATTTTTAATGATAATTTATAATTTTGGTGTTGTATAAAAACATGCTTTAATGCATTTCGGTGCTACTTTTCTATTACATCTCAGTTTAATCATGGTATAATACAGGAGTGAAACACTTTCTCCTGCAGAAAGCGAAAGATGTGTCAGAAATCTGTATGTTTCAGTCTTTGTGTACATGGGCCTTCACAAATAACATTTGGCTTTTTAATGGTGTAGAACAAGCCATTAGTCCTGCTAATAGAGCCATAGAATTGTCAGATAAATTTGCTGTGCAGCAGCCCAAGGCCATAAAGCTATTCAGAGGCACTCTTTGCTCATGGATAGTTTCTTGGAGAATTTATGTAGTAGTATGTTGGTCATATTCACTCATGTCTGAAAGCCTACAAACATTATGGCAAGATCAAATTACTTATTAAGGCTTTATGCTGTAGCGTGATATTATAAGTCTCTTTTGTTGAATAGTTCTAATCTGTGCAGTTAGGTTAGTGTTTCAGTAAATTAATTCCTACATAGATTTCTTCTTTCATTAGGACTGCTACTACTATGTGCAATGAAACATTTAATTTTTAGCGTTTTATTCTTAGGCTGTATGCTGTAAGGATGTTTCATTATTCAGAACATTAAATGTATAAACGTTGACTCTTACAGTCAACATATCTCAGTATAGTTGCAAATAACTGTAAATCCACACGTCTAAAATGCCTGTAAATCCAAGATGCACGCCTGTGCGTGTTGCCGTCTTACACTGAATAACTGAAGGCTCTCAAAGATTTCAAACACAGTTACTTTTAAGAATAAAGTTTTCTCATGGTTGTTGGCTTATGTTTCCCAGAGTGGCAGCCTGTCTGGTGTGTTGCTGTACTTTTCCTGGGGTACAGAATTCTGGATAGAGCTGTCACCTTTGGGGAAGGGGGGAAGAAAGAGAATGGGAAGATGCGTAGTTTGGAAGGTGAGGAAACACTGACCCCTCATGCAAATTTTACTGAGCTTGTTTGTGTGCATTTTCAGAATTTCTGGGAAGGGCTTTGGGATGTCACCAACGAAGCGATAACCTTAGTCAGTATTTACAGTGCAAACTGTGTGGAATGAACCAAAACTGGCTTAAAAATCTGGAGAATTTTGTGGATTTTTTGATGGCTCTTGGTGGCACTAGGTTTGTTGGTTGGTTGGGTTTTACATTGTGCTCACTGTGAACTACAAGGTCTGGCAGAACACAAACAAATTAACCTTTACTTAGCAAGACCAGTGAACAGGAGAAACTCACCTGGCTGGTTGAGAGGATGAATCGATTGCTTGTCAAATATGTCTCATCCGTAAATATCTCTGGCAGTTCCTTGAAGTGCTCCCGTGCCACCTCTCTGAGCCCCAGCAGATGATTGTCTATTGCCATTCCAGTAATAGCCTGTGTACAATGTGATCAGACACCAGCATTTAACTGAGTGTGGAGATATTTTCTTGTCTGTTACTGCCTTGTATTCTGGTCAGAGTTAATGAACTTGGTTTGAGTGATGTGATGCCTGTGATGTTCAGATGTTACTCTGAGGTATATACTTTGCTGTGGTGATCAGTATCTATAAATTCTGAAGATGTTAACAATTAAGAAGGAGATGGTCTTGAGATGTATTATGTACTGATGTCATCTGGTGTCCTGGGCTTTCATCTTCAATCAGAGCTGAATATCATGGGCTGGGATTCCAAAGCTGCTGAGGGGAGCATATGGGACACCAGATATCTCTAAGTGTGTTTTGGAATTTCCTGTTCATCTCTTGGATTATATTTCAAGATAGGCTCTAAAACACCTCCACATTAGAAAAAAAATTACTCTTTTATTGCCTAGCTGCCTGCGTTTCACTCTGGCAGGTAAAGCCAGGTGTCATTCCATAGAATTTAGAACTAAAGGTCTTGTAGATGTCTGAAACAGATTTAGCAGGAGTCTACTTGCCATCCTGTGCTTGCCCATGTGTCTACTCATCATCATCCCCAGCACAGAACCAGACATGCTTGCCCCCAAGCCCTGCTCCAGAATGTCCCATATTTCATCTCCTGCCTCATGGCTACAGGTGAGGTGGCTGGCAGCATGTGCAGTGGCTGAATGTTAGCAGCAAGAGAACACTGGTAGCCAGCTAGCCAGCTCACAAGAACTACTGCCCAGCCTGCAGTCCAGTCTTTCTGCCATGAGCCTGCTGTGCTTGGGTTTCTCTGCTTTATCACCCACCTAATGCTGTAGACTTAAGGAATTTTCTAGCTTAAGATCTTTCCCTGCTGGCAAATGTCATTGAAGATGGCTAATGAGATCAAAAGTCAATAGTGGGAGGTGGGCAGGCATGATAGTTACAGAGTTTTGTTTCTTTAGGAAACCAGATCAAAATTTGTTCCAACTGGTCAGGAATTGCCTGAGATTAAAATACACATTTAAAATCATTCAGTCTGGGTTTATTCTATGCTGGTGAGAGCATTGATTATGAGGATTGAGCTCATGTCTGGTAACAGGCTGAAGTCATGTAGGAAGGGAATGTTGAATAAGGGACATTGCACTACACTGAGAGCAGAACTGATCTCTTTGTGGCACAGGCCCCTCATAACAAGGGAAATAAGCAACCTGAGAGAAGGCAGGATTTGAAAAAGAGCATAGGCTCGGTTTTCCTCTTCAGGGGGGGATTGAAAAAAAAAAAAAGATGTGCAAGTTTGCTTCTTCTCTTAAGAGGAGAATCATTCTAACCAGTAATAAGTGCTTGTTGCAGGGGGCTGGGATTGCATAATCTTGTTTGGCTTATTAAGGAGTAGGCACCCACTGGTAAATGGGCTATTTGTTCATCAGCCCAGATGAAGCAAGGATGCTTGCAAAAAAGTATTGGACATCAGGGCAGTGTTTATGCTGTTTTTCCCATAGAGGGAAACTGACTTGATAATCAAAGGAAATATTTTGCCATCACACAAGATTTATAAGGCTGTTAGCAATGACATTTTTGCAACATAGATCACTGTCATGTCTGAAGAGAGCCCGAGACAGGCTAACGAAATAAACTGTGAGTCAACGCTTAGGAAAAAAGTGTGCTAAATTGAATTTGAGAGCTCCACATTTAAGATAGCAATGCTACTAGTGAGCCCTAACGAGGGGAAATAAAATCATTAGATTGTTTTTTGTTTTACAAAGTAGATTCTTTTTGTTTCTCTTCGGATCTATTGCATTTCAGTCTGTTACACATGATTTAGTCAGACCATGTAAGTCTTGCCCATAGTTTAAAGGCACCACAATTGCATTATACTTTTTTGAGAAATAAGGGGGAGCTTGGTGAATAGAAATACCTGGAGGGCTTCTTAAATTTAAAGATAAATTAATTTTCCAGTGGTGATTCTAATATCCTGCCCATGGGCTGCACTGGAGGCTGGATTTTATGACAGTTTCTGGAACTGAAATAACGTGGAGGGGGGATTTTATGGAAATTTTTTATTTAAAAATAAACTTCATTGGTTGTGCCCTAGTAGACATACAACTATGTTGCGTTGTGAGGTTACCCTGAGATAGTTCAGGTAAGATAGCTGCCCTGAAGTCAGGCTTGCCTCTGCTTTATAGATCATGTGGAGGCTCAGCTCCTAAGAAGTGGGCTCCCAGCACAAGGCTTGAAACACAAAACTGGTTTGTTTCCTCCCCTGCCCTCCCTGCTTCTTTCGTCTCACAGTCTCAGGAACAAATGCTGCCTGAAAGAAACACTTCACCTTACCATGCTCTGAGTATACCTTTGAAACCACCTCTGGAAGTGAATGACTCCTTGAATATTATGAATATTCAAACAGTAATAAGCAATGTGAGGTTTTTTTAAGCAGTGGTCTGAGGGAAAACTGTAGGTAGCAAATTCATGTAACATAACTGGTTATTAACATTTACTGATTTCATATGTGGTTTGGCTAAGTCGTTTGTGGAGGAAATCTGTGCTTTGTCTAGGCACAGTGGGATGCTGAGCATTACCAAAGCTGAATGGTCTCATTTTTAATCAAGAGAAAGTGGGTTGTGTTTGATACTAAACTTATTTCTTCACTGGAGATCATCTCTGCCTTTTATTAGACAGTACCTTCAGGTCCTTAAAAGAGAACTCACTATAATCATTCCCACATTGTTAATGACCTTTGTTAGAAATATCACTTTGGAATACCAGGAATACCTCCATCTGAGGATCAGGTCCCAGATAGGGACTTCTCTAGGGAAGAAAAACATAAGAAAATTAATGAATAGTTACTTTTAGGGTGAAAAAAAAAAAAAAAACCTCCGAAGTTCCTGATGCGTTACAGGTATCTTGAGCTTATCTGTAACATTATAGTTTATGGGGCTAAATACCTTTAATTTTTGGGGATCTGGATTTTGCTGTTGGAGTTTTATTTCTCATGCATGTTACACAGCAGTTAAGTGGGTTGCTTTTAAGCCTTGCTTGCTTCTCATCCTGAGAAGTCTCTTGGCTGTATAGTTGCCTTACCCCATTAGAATACCCTGTGGCTAATTTTCTTGGTTATCTTCATGCCTAACATTTCATGTTGATCACAGAGCACAGAATAAAGGCTCATTTCACCTGGATACTGTTCTCCCTTGCAATCCTTTCCATAGTTATAAAAAATATCCCTTTATTAAATTTTTATTGCAAGCTCTGTAAGATGGAGGCCATTTTTTAATTGTTAATTTGTACAGCACCAGGCTTTGTGGAATCCTGATTTGTGTTTGGGACTCCTAATTATGACACAGATGCATATTTCCCATGTACCCGAGAGTGATGGTCTTGCCACTGATGTCTAATGCAGAACTTCGTTATCTTGCTTTCCAGGAGGTACTTTTTTAAGGTGAGGTTAGTTGAATATGGCTATTTGGATGCTATTGAGGCCGTTAGAATTGTTCCTAACTGTGACATAGCAGGTACTTTCCTATTTAGAGATGTCCACATTTTCTGTTGCTTAAATAGTTAATGACTGTATCTTTGTACTTTTCTTGAAGAAAAAACTAACCACTCCTTATTCAGGCAAAGCAGTGTTTTACTTACCAGAATAGTGTAATTAGTCTGAGCTGCAATTGCATCCTTAAATCTCTGCATCTTCTCAGAATCCTGTTGGGGGGATGAAAATATACCTTATTATTGAATAAACTCTCAATGAAATAGTATCTTACATCAGTTTATGAGCCACACACCAGCAAGTGCTCTCAAATGTCCCTTGTTTCTGGCTCAGGTGTAAGTACTCTTTATAAGCAAAAAGCCATAGGGATTCAATATCCTGATCAGCAACAGTGCCTGGTTGTGCAAGGGTTGAACAGGTTTGATGGTGGTGATCTGAAGCCAAGGAAAGACCTGCAGTTCCTTTTGTGGATTTCTTCCATGGATTTTGGGGGTGTAGGTTATTACTAATAAAATCACTCTGAAGTAGGGAAAATTATTGCCTAGTGTAATTCAGTGTTTTCAAAACACTCAGGCAGTCTGTCTCCTCCAGAATAGTTTATCTAGACAATGACAGTGATATTAATGAAAGCCATTACTGATATTTTACTAGCCAGTCAAAAATTACTCCCCTGTGTGAAAGGGCATCTAGAATTTTCCAAGGCTGCTCTACCCTCCACAGATGCCTCACATTTCAGATAACAAGCCAGTAAATTTTGACTCCTGTCAAATGGCAGCCTTTTATATTAAGGGAATGATCCTAAGAAGTGCTGCCCTGCAGTACATCAAGTCCAACACTGCAACTTTGAGCGACCCTGAAACAGGCAGAAATGACTGGGCCTCCAGATAAACAGGGAACCTTCAGCTCCTATGGACAATGAATGATCTTTTGAACAAAGAACTCATTTTAAAAACAATTCAAGGCCACCAGCAGGGGCCTTCAAAGTACAGAGTCTGATGTTTTTTCATAGGGATAGAGCTAGGCCTTAGTTCCCTTATACAGATTAAATTACCAAATGCAGTCTTTAAATCTGATTAATTTACAGCTATTCAAGCAATCTCTGCAGTGTCAGTTGCTGCTTCCTTTACAGCAAGTGTCAAATGCATGAGTTATTTCTCCTTCTAGAGAATCAGTCCGATTTGATCAGTCTTTGACTGTTCTAGTTATAGTTTGAAGATCATTTTTATCAGCATCAGATATAAATCTGTTTTTAATTTGATTTGGATTAATGGCTACTAACAAACTATTTTGGGGAGTTCAAGGCTACTGAAACCAAGTGATATATCTATTTGTGCTAAAACCAGATTTAACCCCTTCATATCCAGACACAATCTGTAGGTCTAAAGAAAAAGAGTTGGAATGGGGTTGTGTTAAGTGAATTTCATTTCTAATGATTCTGTGGTAATAATATATATATAGGTTTGAACTGAAAGACAAAGATGCTCACATCAAAACAAAGGTTTCTAAAAGTTTGTTAGAAGGAATGATCACAGATCAGTTTAAATGTCTTTTGCATCTCTCAGTGGACAATAAGCTAGGAAAGCTGGCAGTGGATTGGTTTGCATTATGTTTGCAGGTTTTTTAAAGGAGGGAGAATGAAACCATTATTCTTCCTGCTCGGTACTGCCAAGTCATTCAATGTAAACATTTTGGGGCTGAGGCTGAGCTCACTCCAGACATATGTGGTATTCTGCTTCCTTATGTGAAGCCATACAGTTTAGGATGCTGTGAAGCATTGGCATGATCTCAGTTTTGCATGGTAAAACAGTGAGAAGCTTTGGTAGAGCGGCAGAAGTCAGAAAGTGTTGGACTAAGGAATGTGGGAAGAGGCTGTTAGAGGGAACAAGAAGTATCTGCCAAAACAACGTACTAGAAGCTGGCTCCTCCTAGAAGTACAGTCAGCCTGCAGCAATGTGCATTGAGGCTGTGGGTATGCTGAGCACCCAAGTGTGGAGGAGAAGGTGCGCAAAGATGATAACAGCTTCTAAGGAAACTTGATTACAAATCATGTTGTCAGATAGGACACTGATAGCAAATAACAGTTTCTTCTTCTCTGCTGTATGGTAGTCACTATTATGTGTAATAGTGTGGTCATAATCTGCCTTGGAATACCCATTCAGCATGTGGAATTATTACTTCAAGTTTCCTTTGAGTTATCATTTTAACATGGAACTTACTTGAGTCTTGTGTAATCATGAGCTAAGCTCTGGGCATGGTAACCTTAAGGAGACTGAAGAAGCAGTGAAGGAACAGAGCACTTCTCTGGGCAAATTTTCCTCACCCTCTGGGACATTAGAGCTTGATTTACAGTATTTCATTAATTTGCACTTAATTCACTCATTGCCCAGCAATGCTTTGAGCAGTGCTATGCCAGATTCTAAAGAACAGCCATGTGGGCTGTTGCCACTGGAGTGGGCTTACTGTGCAAAATAATCCACATTGTGGCAGTGTTTTGCATCTAAAGAGCCACCTGGAAATTCCCTGTACAGCAGCGAAGTGCAGTGGGTGGAAGCAGCACGTAGAGAGACGTTGGAGGAGGCTCTCTGGGGATGGCAGGCGGGACAGTGCACAAAGCTGTTTGTGCAGCTATAGTCCCAGCTGTACCTCTTGCATCCCCATCTACGAAGTACAGTTCTCATGCTTCTGGCGAACAGATGGTGGTGCCTCAAAGAAAAGCAGCTTGGTTTTTCTTTTTGTAGGATGATGTCAGGACAGCCTGGAGAGTTGTTTCATTAGCTTGGGGACTTTTGTTCATTGTGAAGGTTCAGCCCCCTTGAGGATCCTATAAAACTATTTGGTAAAAACCTGCCTTTAAACCCAAAAAGATCAGCCAGCCAGAAAGATCAGACAGAACATGTACACCTAATCCAGAAATCAAAGCACGTGATTTATATCACTTCACACATCACAATCTACTGCAGGGGACCTGCCAGGCAACTCCCCTGGTGTGGCAGTATAATGATCCTGAACTGATCATGCTCAGCCTAGGCCTCTCCAGGGAGCTGAATTTGGATCCGATGATGGATCATTCAGAAAACAGTACTAAATCTAAAAGCAGATATTTGTTTCTTTTTCTTACAATGTCATGTTTGGGCACCTCTGAGTCTTTCAGTTGCTTAAGTAAAAATAAGGAAATATATATATTTAGCTTAGTGGTTGGTCTGCACAAAACCTCAAATCATGTAAGGCTTGCTACCCTGCCCTTTGCCTTTATGTTCCCAGTTAACAGTTGCAAAGTGGGAGACTGGGGATCATGAATGCATTATTTTCTTAGGGTTTTGCCAAAGGAGGCAGAGGGAGCCAGACCAACATACCGGTAGAGCTGTCTTCTCATCAGTCATTGCTTTTACAAAAGCAAATGCCTCTGAGGTAGCAGACCTAATATTGTCGACTCTGCCCTCATCAAATCTGCGTATGGAAGCACTTTCGTAGGTGGGGACAAGTCTCCTGTGGCATCTGAGAGAATGAAGTAAGAAAAACAAAGAGTAATTGTTTTCAAGGAGTCATAAAGACTGAAAGAAATACAGCCTGAGTACGTTTTATTGTACCAAGCAGCAGTTTTGTTCTTTGCATAGTATTCATCTTAACGTTGATAGAATTCTGTAAGAAACTTAAAAGAGATGGATGCTCACTCCTTTCTAATTCGAAGAGCTGCATACAGCTGTATACATTCTAGTTATGTATTGCCAGTAAAAAATGACCTCCTATGTAAAAACAAGGCTAGTAAAGCTAAAATTTATTGAAAGATCTCAAGGAATGTTTTATTTGTACTGCATCATAAAATAATAGTGTAATTAATCATTTACTTATGGGCTTGAAATATGTTTTATTTAAAACTAGAAAAAAAATGCACTCTGTGTGTGAATGAAAAATAGAAAACTAAAAGGGTGTTATTTGAGACTACGAGCTGGAATGAAAACCCACATAGCTAATAGAACAGAGACTGAAGACTATTCTTTAATTTGGGTCCAGGTATATAGCTTCTATTCCTTACTTTGGGACACCTACTGTGTCTTCCAGTTGATGCAGAGGTCTCAGAACGTAGGTTTTTACCCTAAGGTTTTTGTTGCATCCATGGGATTTATATCCTGGCTGGGGTCAGATGAAAACGTTGGACCAGGTCATTGCTGGAGTTTGGTTAATGGAATACACAAAACAGATGTCTAACAGATGTTAATGGAACATGCAAAATGTGTAGGCATCTCTGGTTTTGAATACGTAAAGACCAGTTCAGGATTTACTTTGACTTGATAAAGAATTATTCGTGTAATAGGCTGTTCTGCAGGAAACCATGCAACTGGTCTCTAGCCTGGAGCATTAGCTGTTCTGACTATGTAGAAAGGAGCATTTAACTTTTATAATACCTTGGAAGTTAGAGGATGTTATAAAATTTTGGGATTCCTGTGAAGAAATAAGCATCATTAGTTACCATCCTGTGTAGGAACTCTGACCTGATATGCTGCTATAGGATTTTCCCTCTGAATGCTTTTTGCCCTGCGGTGCAAGGGATGCATATGAGGTGATCTATGGTTTACTGCCACAGTTCCTCCCAGACTATGTGGGAGAAAGTGGTAAAAATGTGTTTCTGCTCCACAGACTTGGACTCCCTGGCTGCTTCTGCTGCTGTGGGTAGCAAGGTTGGCAGCTACTTCCTGCCACATCCTCTCACTCTCTTCTCTATGCCAGCTGGGAATGGTATGTGTAAGACACAGGGATGGGAAGGTAGAGCAAGGAGAGGGAAAAGAAGTGAAAAAAAAGGAGTGCTGTGTTTCAGAGCAATTTCTTTCTTGTCTGACCTACAGTCAAGAAGCAAGATCACTCATTGCCATGCAGGAGGCAATTGTTTGGGTGCTGAGGAAAAAAAAACCAAAGACCCCACAGACTGTGAATCTCCTCTTGTGTTGCCTTGTTCCTAAGAGTTGTATTAACCTTACCTGTAAAATGCCAGCTGAAGTGCTACTTGAATGTAGGCATCTGGGCTAATCTTCTGTTTCTTAATAAATTCCTTTCCATAGTTTTCAAACTTGTAGGCAATGAAGTCGAGGTTATTTACTATCCTGGAAAACAAGCAGAGGTAGTTACTGTGGGGGGAGCCGCAAGAATGTCTTGTTCTGTTTCCATTTGCAAGTAAAACCCAGACATCATTTCCTGCCTGTGCCCACTTGGAGATGAGTGGGTTCCTGCTCTGCAGACAGCCCCTGCCTTTGGTAACTTGCTCCTAATCGGTAACTTTTATTCATACAGGCTCTAGACTGGGCTTGTTATCTGCAGCCTTAACGTGAACTGTGGCACTTGGGTCACACTCTGTTCATTTCAGTATTCGAGTAAAACACCTTTTTTTAAAGAAAACCCTAGTGTTTCTGCTCCTGAAGCCTAAGCACGGGGCTCCTTTGTTCCCAACAAGTATATGAGATTTACTAGCGTGGGAAATGGGTGTATTTAAAACCCGATGACGGCTGTAAGCTCCTTGCAAGTTTCAATGTAGAAGACTGCTACCTTTATTTAAACCAAAAAGGAATTACTCTGCATCCTGAAAGTCTTCATACTCTCATGTATGCTTCTAACCACTTCGAGGTCTCATCTAACGCAGTCACGCTGGACATACTTACAGCTGACCATGAAGATAATGCGTTAATTCTCTGCAGGGAGAGCACAGGCCTGAGTGTTGAGATGAAATAATTTGAGGGGAAAAAAATAATCTTACTGCCATCCACCCCTCCCAAATACCATGCAAATATTTTACAGTCTGCAAACACAGTCAAAAGAACTAACCTTTGTAGCAGTAACATGGATGCAAACAAATTATACTCCTGAATTCAAACTGTTTATTCAAACTAGTTGTTTTCTGCTGTGCCATATACATACCCCATTGCCCTGGCTTTGGCTTTAGTCAGGTGAAACCCATAGAATGCATCCTCAAAGCCAGAGGGCCTGCACTGTTTGCATCCTGTGCAAATAGAGCTCAAATGTTGTTACAGTGGTCTTTCACTTTCATAATATTTACATGGAAAGAAAACAATGTGAAGCAATTCCTGAATACAGTGAAGTAGCTCCAGCCATTTAGGTTGCTGTCAAGCAAAGAGATGCTATGTATGTCCAGCTTGGGAAGATGGGGAGAAGTGGGAGGGCAGAGGGAGCTCTCTAGGAGGAAACCCATGCCAGCAGGCAATATGCTGGGCAATTCCCACACTGCAATCATTGCTGACAAAAATGAGGCATCTGTTCTACCTTTGGAGTTTTTCTGCTGCTGATGCCAAATGTGTCTGAATTTCAGGGGAGCATTTCCATCTTAGTCTCCGTGGAGCAGGAAGCTCGGTCACTGAATCAGCTCGGACTAGTTTCTTGGAACATTCTTTCCTGTTGAATTGTGAGAGAAAAGTCATTAAGGTCACAGCAATAATGTCTTTGTAAAACACTGTTTTTTTTAGCAGGCAAATGACTGGTTTCCAGCAGTTGTATGGGTCTTAATGGCCCTGTACATCAGGGGGAATTTGCCATTGGCAGAGGCTTCCCGGAGTGGGTACAATAGCTGTACTGAATGGGGACTCACATGTGCTTGAGCAAGTGTTCAGTGCACTGCACCAGTACGATGCCATCGAAAGGGGAATGTTCACACACGGTACCGCAGACGCCATCTCTTCCTACCACAAACTAAGCAAGGAAAAGAACAAGTGCAAGATATATAGGGAATAAATCATGTTGTGGGTAAGTTATCCATGATGGCAACCTAAAAAAAAAAGATGTTGTTCTCCTGTGGTTTTCTTATTGCTCATATCAGGAACTTTCTTGACTTACAGATCAGTGGGTGACTTACAGACTTACTGCAGGAGACTTTCTTGTCCCAGGAATGGTGCTGCATTGGATACCTTTCATGCTGTTATTTCAGACTGAGTCCTGTGAGAATCTGAATTTTAGCAGTTCCCACTGGAGTCCCAAAATGAGATTAAGCATTTGCTTTGTGGTAGAAAAAGCCCAACAATAGAAAGGCTGGGTTTCTCTTTCCACATCTGGGGGCACTTCTGTATCTGGGAAGTCCCATAGGATCACATTTTATTAAAAATCGTATCAAATGAGCAAACTATTCCTTATTTGATAGCTTTCTCATAGCTTTACTGCTCTCCTCCATCTTTCATTTTTTGTGTGGTGTTTTCTTCATTTCCCTCTTACTTGCTTTCATTCCTGATTTCATTGTGTACGCATGGTATGACTGGTGAGACTTAATCTGCTGCACTGTAGTTCTGTGATACCCCCATGTGGCTGGTTACTTGTGCATCCCAAACAAAAGCAGATGTCTAGGACAAAACTCAAACTTGTCTCACTTGTTTCCTGTCCTTTTCCTGGACTTTTCCCCTGCTTCTTTTGAAGTGTCTTTGGCTGGACTTCTCCTGCTCAGTTCAGTCCATGTATTTGTGTCACACATAGAATCATAGAATAGTTAGGGTTGGAAAGGACCTTAAGATCATCAAGTTCCAACCCCCCTGCCGTGGGCAGGGACACCTCACTCTAAACCCTATCACCCAAGGCCTTGTCCAACCTGGCCTTGAAAACTGCCAGGGATGGAGCATTCACAACCCCCCTGGACAACCTATTCCAGTGCCTCACCATCCTCACAGGAAAGAATTTCCTCCTTATATCCAATCTAAACTTCCTCTGTTTAAGTTTTAACCCATTACCCCTTGTCCTACCACTATAGTCCCTAATGAAGAGTCCCTCCCCAGCATCCCTGTAGGCCCCCTTCAGATACTGGAAGGCTGCTATGAGGTCTCCACGCAGCCTTCTCTTCTCCAGGCTGAACAGCCCCAACTTTCTCATCCTGCCTCCCTGGTTCCCATGAGGCTTTCACAAAGTGGGTGTGTGATGCAGCAAGTTTACCTGGGCGTTTTCTGATGCCTTACTGCAAAGTTGTAGAAGAGTATGGAGAGTCCTGTGAGAATGGCTTCCTGCATAATCAGTGTTTGCATGAAAGAAAATGAGATCTTTTTTCCCCCTAAGAATTTCTCTTTGTCTTTGGACTACTTCTGGCCTGAATACATCTGTATGTATGAAGCTCTCTTATACTAGGCAAATTTATGTGCTTTCTGCTACCTTCTGATCATAAACAAAAAGAGTATCTTGTTTATTCTCAGCTACTTGAAACATCTCAACTTGTGGACCTGCAAATAACAGGGTTCTAGCTAAAGACAAATGGTTTGTTCTTAAAAAACACATCTAGTAATAAACATAGTCTCTGCTAAGAACATCATTTGCAATGGCATGAATCAGGAATGACTATTGGAATTTATTTGCACTGGGGTAAGCCTGTGCAGGTGAATTTAGGGGTTTCTCTTTTCGTGTTGCTGTTCTTAGATGTGCAATGATTGTTGCTTTTGTCATGAGCTGTGTATCAATCAGGGCTTTTTTCAGTTTTTCATGAGGTGTCAGCATTGTTGACAGTTGGAGATTAGTACATTGCTTCGCTATGGGTCTATTGCAAAATGTGAAAATAACAGTGCAACCCTTTCTACTATGACAATCAAAATCTGATTGGGGAAAAAGGCAAAAGCACTGGAGAAATCGATACTTCCAGTAAAGTCTCAACAAGGATGTCACTAAATGAGTAAACACTCTGTTAAGTGAGAACTTAATGGTAGCTAAATTATAAGCAGTAGTATTTCTTGGTTGTCAGGAAAATCTGTGAGGAAACACAGAAAGCTATTATGCTTTCCTTTTTTGTTCTGGGATGCTAGTACAGAATTTTTATTTAATTTGATTTGGTGTAACTGAATGCACACTGGTTTGGGTTTTTTTGTTAGATGTCTTCCTGTATATCTCTGTATCTTTCTGCCTCCACAAGTGCAAAGGGCAATTTCAGGTGAGGTGAAAGCATACCTGTGTTGGAGAAGGCACTCCCGCTACTACAGCGAGGCAGTAGGTCTGCTTCTGCTGCCTTGCAAGGAGCAGTGCTGCTCACACCAGCCCTGCCTTGGCAGATGCTGACACCACCTTTCTCTTCTTCTCCCACTTAGAATCAAGTGGTCCCTACCATGGGGGCACCTGGTGGCATTGCGTGCAAATAATGTCATAATACTGTGAGGTTTTTACCTGCATCGGTTTGTCATACCAACGATTGGCCCCGTTTTTGTGGTAGCCTCCCCCATGTAGCAGTTGCAATGCCATGTTGGTATCACTGAGTTCCACCCCGCTTGGGCTGTCCAGGCACACAAGGCATATGCACCGTTCAATCATGTCAAGAGAGTCGCGGTTAGTAGAGTCTGGGGATAAAAAAGTGAAATGTTCACATCCTCTTACCTGCAGTGCAGGGCTGGCTGGGAACCCTGTTGCCTTGGAAAGCATTGAAGATCTGACCCTGACTCTGCAAAGAGCTGGTATCTGCAGAGTTCTCTCAACAGCAGAACGTATCAGTGCAAGGAAATGTTACATTGAGGCATTATTCATGTGTTAACTTTTGCAGTATCCCTGTGTATCTTTCATATGATTCAATAATATCCACTTTCTTTTTCTGCCTTTCCTTTCCTGAAGTAATTGTATTGCAAGATAGATCTGTTTTAGTCTTAACACCAGCAACGCTTACTTATGCATAACAGTGAGGACAGGTGGAAAATAGAGAATTTCAATGTTCACGCTATTGCTGCAGTATTCTGTTCTGGAACAGCTGGTTTCATGCTGTTCTTTCATTAAAATCCTTTTCTGGACACAGAACAGCAGGGCCCATGTTGTTTTTGTGTTCTTATATTAAATTTCTTTCTCCTATCCTACTTAATTTCTAGTACTTTAGAGAAATAAGCCCTGGACTGTGTATGTTGCCCACATCACACGAGGAAACATCTGTAGACGAGGTTGTGATGTTTAGATTCTGAGCATGATATTGCCAAAACCATGGGTTGCCACATTCCTCTTTCCTCCTATCACTAGTACACTGCTGAATAAAATGTGCTGTTTCTGTCTCTCTGTTTCTTTTCCCTATCCTGTCAATCTTACTGCTACAGGTGAACTACAAAGGCTATTTTTACATTGTGTTCAGTGCTTTCCTCCTTATTTATGGTATATTTATGTGGGGTTTTTATTCTCAGTTTCTTTAACTCAGAAATGTTAGGAAAATGAAGGTGTGCCTGCTTCTGGGGGCTGGTTTGAGGCATAGGAAGTATTTAATCATGGGCACTTACTACAGTTCTTAATTGAAAGGATAAAGGTGTGGAACCTATAATGAGAACTTGGTTTATTCAAAAGCATATAACATCATTACTTGCTGTTAAATGGTTGTTAACAAGATCAAAGGAAAAAGGCCTTTCAAACAACTTAAAATTCCTTCTATTCTTAACAGATTAGCTTTCATCTGCTGGTTTTGTTAGATGTTTTTGTTTAAGAATATTCTTAACTAAAGGTATGAATTCAGGTTGATCAAACCTTCTTGAAAGTCTGTGCTAAGTTCAATAAATTTGTTCTTAATCCCGGAGATGATTTTAGCTGAAAAGATGGAAGAAATATTTAAAAAGAAGTAATTCTGATTTGTATTTAAAATATGGAGTTATTTTAAAATGTGCAGGTTTTTAATGTCTGTAAATACAAGAAGTAGCTTGACCTTCTGAAAGAACAGCATTTTTCAAAGTAAGAAAAGATGTACCCTCCCAAGAATGAGTAACATAGGTTAGTGAGGAGCTAGAAAAAGAGCCCCAGATGTGTGTTATCACCTAGGTTCATTCTGTAGCTGCAATGTGGTAAAACAGAGCACAAATATGTGAGAAGAGGGGGAGTTGTGGCCTCTTTCAGGTTATGGTGAAGCTCTGTGTATTGCTGTTTGGTGCCAGCCTGACTTCATGAGTACTGTGCGGGCACCTGGCAGAGCACAGTGTGTTGTCTTCCCTTGCCCACAGAAGCAGAGTTCTGTATTTTATTGTGGCTGCTGCTTACATGTCTTTGACAGATATGAAGACCTTATTCTGACATACGGCTTCAGGCATCTTGAGTCTAGGTATTAGAGTGAAGAAAATTAAGCTCTGCTAGAAACAGGGAAGTAGGGGAAAGATGCCCTTACAGAGAGAAACAGATATGTCCAGAAAGCTGATCAGACACTGAAAAAATTATCATGTAAAGCAGGCAATGAGCTGTGCAAGAACTCATGAACCATGACTTGGGATGGAAAACAAATATTTTCAGAAAGAGCTGAAACAGGAAAAGCATGAGAATAAGCCTAAAGCCTTGCAAGATGTTTCTTGTCCTTCTGCCTTTCTAATGCACATAATTGCATTGAATCGGCAGGTCAGCTTTTAGTTACTTGGAGGCTTGGGGTTTTGTTTTTAAAAGGAAAATATAAGAAGACAGCTCTGAATGAAATTCAGTTATAGTATGCATGGGACAGCAGCCCCTATAGCAACAAGAATTCACTTCCTCTACTTAGGGGAGTGAGTTAGTTCTGCAGCCTGAACACAGTTAAAATACTAAATGTGTTCATAAATCAATGATGGCTGTGGTTTTAAAATTGCTTCTTCTTCACCTTGAAGACCTGTCCTCTACTTGTAGGTCTGTGCAGGCCCATACACATATTTCTTTCATAACCTCTGCAAAGTGCTGTATAAGTCTTCTCTGTCCCAAAACATCTTCACTTTCCCTGCCCCATACAGAACAGTTGTAGTGACCCCTTCACCTCATGCTCTTCACTAGAGGCATTTCTCTTCCTCTGTTCGTTCTATGAACATTTTGCCACAGAAAAGAAAGAGGGCTGTTAATAATCATGTATCTATGTGTAACAACAATGCATTATACTGTATAGAGGACCTGTGCTAGTATGAATGGTTTAGGATGGGATTCCTGCTTAGATTAGAGAAGGCTCACATCACATTGCTGTGATATTTGCTAGTTCAGAATCTGCAGGGCTTTTTCAGCTGCATAACTGAGTTGGATTTCTTCGTCATTAAAACGAATATTTTGGCAAATACCAGGCAATCCAAACCCACTACAGAGATGGTTCTGCTGGTTTTGTTATTTTGTCCTTTTTCTTTAGGGTAATGGAGGTTTACAAAGATGATTTTCCTGCAGTTTTCAAGGTATTCAGCTTTACTTCAAAGAGTGGCGTAACACAAATGACTAGGGTTTCTCTCACTTTTCATTATAATAGGGAATCTTTTCTCTACTGTTTTAAAAAGAAAAGAAGGGGAGGAGAAAGCCTGAAGATTAGACTGGTACCATGTAACAGTGCTAGGACTTTAAGTGTGTTTGTGTGTTTATCTATATAAAGCTATTATAAGCACAGATAAACTTGAATAAGTAAATGAAAGATCTTCCTTGAGATGGTAAACATATTTTGAGACTATCGGCAACACTTGTATATTCCAGGGCATAGATAAAACAGCAATATTTTCTGTAGCATTGATGAATTGGAGCAAAAGACATGACTGAATGTTTTTCTTTCAGGAGAGAAAAATGAATATTTAAGTCTTCTATAATGGCAAAAAGAGGGCATTTACATCACTTAGCCTCAGTGTCAAATATATAAGGTGTGATGTGATACAGGCGACTAATCCCACTCTTAATTTTCATCTGTTTCAAAGTCAGGCATTCAAGTCCAGAATCCAAGACAGCTGAATGATGCCTGTTGTTGAAAGAGAGAACTATCCCCAGAGAGTAACTGGTGTCACCTTTTCTTGATACTTCCTTAAGGTTTGGATTAATCAACCCTAGTACTTTCTGGCTTTCTCTATTGACTAGAGAGAGTATACAGCTAGATTCAATAGGTGTTAACTCGTAGATGCCTTTGTTAGATGAGATGAAAAAGTCCATGCTATGAAAAATAGTTGCCAAAAGCTAAGAGGATCCATCATTCCTATTGGTACAAAATGGATGTGAAGAAAGAGACAAATCACACAATCTGATGTAATGTAATTCATGTGATGAAAAACGAAGAATGGAATGAGAGCTATATACATGGCGTAACACTTAAACATACACAGCCAAAGAGTCAAACCATTTCTGCTGATTCCCTGGCAACATACATCTGAACACTTACAGGTATTGAATTTCCTCCTGCTAGAAAAATTCAGCAGTGAGGTTGCACATTCAGTCCTATATTTGCTGTACTGTTCACTCCCAGCAGAGAAAGGCAATGATGATGAGGAGGAAGATGATGGAGAAAGCTGGAATTGCTGCTGCTAACCTTTCATAAGGATCGTCCTGGCCTCTGCCCACTCGGTCCTTCCATCTGTTGTCAGCAGGCCAATTGGAGGCAGCATTTCCTCTTCATTCTCTGCCATTTTGGCTATCTTTTGTAACTGAGTGAAAAGATCTCCCTCACTGAGGCGACGGAAATTAATGACAACATCCAAAACAAAAAACTGCAAAAAAATGACAGGAGTCAGAGGAACAGTCACAGATGGGTTGGACCCTTACTGGTCCAACATCGTGCTTTTGCCTGGGTAGGTGTTGAGATGCTCAAGTCCTGCCTGGAGAGCTAGGCCTGCAGGTAACGGAGTACATAAACACTGGGGACTGGCCCAGGGCTCACCTGTCCTGGGTTTTTACACCACTGTAATGCTGGTTGCTATAAGGGACTTACACCGTGTATTAAACTCAAATAAAACACACCTTATTTGAATAAGGTTAAAAAACCCTGAAGAGATAAAATCAGGAAGGATCTAAATAATTTCCATAGTATTATTTGTTTAAAAATAACATAGAGAATCTAGAAAACTTTCCATTGAGGTGAGGAACAGAACTTCCTGGAAAAGGGGGCACTGGCATCTACTCCATTCCAAGGGAGACTGTAGCCATGGCTCTCATACTACAAATGCAAAGCTGGGTGATAAGGTACTCTGCCTAGCCAATATACACTGCTACATGACAGAATTTTTGACTGAGGCAGGTTCATTCTACTGTTCCAGTATTTCTGCCTGCACTTGAGTTGTCTTCTTCAGGTATAGCTTAGGCCCCCCTAGATGGGATGGTGACATATATGCTGTGTGTTGTGTGCCAATGCTTGACTGTCAAGAGAAGAGCATTTCCAGTAAATGCAATCCAGTAAGATTTTTTTTTTTCTCTGTGGTTTCATCTCTGTTAATAAACATGGTTTTTTTGAATGAGAAAGCAAATGCATTCTGCCACATTCCTCCTTTCTGCATCACTGTATTTGGAACATAATGTGGGCTAAGGACAAAAATGCTGCAGAAGCATCTTTTGGAAATATTGACAGCAAACGCTTGGTAAGAAGTGAGCTCATACGTAGCATGGTAATTGTGTTTCTAAACAATGATGAGATTAGGCTCCTCTTGAGTGAATTTAAGATATCTAAGAAATATATACTGAGAAAGGTACAAAAAGAGAACGCCCATTTACCTGATTGTTACAAGCAACAATGATGTGCTCTGGTTCTGGCATTACACTGCTTTTCTGGGCCACAAGGGTATCTTTGGTATGTCCTGGAAGACGATAGGAAGAAAAGAGCCCATAGTATTGCTTCATACAGAGAGGATGACCAGACAGCTGTCCACGAGCAAAATCAACAGGTAAAACGTGGCTGGAGAGAGAGAAGGAAAACAAAGCCAGAGGAAAAGGGGGAGGAGAGAGGGAAGAGAGAGACAGAGAGGAAAAGAAATCTAATCTGTCCTTTGTTCTGTTACAATTAGATCAGGTACAACACAAATTGAATAATAAAACAAGATTGCAGTATAAGAGAAACAGATGAATTCCCATGCCAAAGTTAAATACATCTTTCCTGGCAGCTTCATGCATATTCATTAAGCAATTGCATTATCATCTAGTGGAAATTGAAAGAATAGCAGGTCACAGGCAGCTTTGCAGTGTGCATGGGAAACCTGCCTATATGGGACCCTGGAAACTTGCCAGGACAGAAGTCAGGAAAACAGGTGGAAAAGGCATAGCACCTTGGAGAAAAAGTACTGGTGAAATTCACTGCAGGTCATGGTGGCCCTGTACTGTGCAAGGTGCTTAGGGAGTGAGAGAGAGCCTTGCCTGGTGAACAGGAATGACTGGGGCAATACAGAGGGTATTTCTGTTTTCCACAGAGCTTCACTTATGTGATAACCCTTACTTAGACCTATGGGGGAATAAATGCTGAAAACCTATTCCTTTTTTATTGGAAGGCAATTGAAAAAATCCAACTAAAAAGGCTTCTTTAGTGGCCAGAAATAAGGAAAAAAAAATCATAATTGTGCTAACTTCTTTCTTTCCTTTTTTTATGGATTCTAAAATATCCCATTGATATTGCCACAGTAAATAATGGTGCTGTTGTTCAGCAGAGGCTGTCAAGATTGTCTCAAACTCTTTATTTCCTAGTACAGGTGCTTTTTTGTTGTTGTTATTAGCAAAACAGGGTTATTAGTGTTCTCCTTCTCCACCATTTTGCATAATGCAGAAATTCTCTTACATTTAACAGAGTTTTAAAGGGCATCTATAATGATCAGAATTAGTGGAATAGCGTGGCGGATTTAGATAAGACAATCTGTAATTATAGCAGCCAAGAAAGGTGTTGTCTGATTAATTGCACCAGAAAATCTAGTACTGATTTAGATGTCTGTGTAAGATCTTACAACTTTTTAATGTGAGCAATTTAGGCTTTGTTTGAAATCTTAGTCCTGGCAACTGCATGGAGTATCTGCACTGCTAAATCTAAAAGTTCTAGTTTAATGCCTGGGTTTGGACTGAAGTATTGTACATCAGCGTGTGGGATGATCCAAAAGAAGCTAGCAGTACACTCACTGGTAGAAGTCCTTAATAGCAACAAGGAACTGAAAATGTCGCAGTTGTGGTGCCCTCATAATTATATAGGAGGGGTGTTAAGCAAACAGTACTAACAATATGAGGACACAGTAGTGAGGATTTAAATGATTATTGATTTAAAGTAGGCAAATCTGATCACAGGAGTCTTTTTTGGATCTAAAGTAGCGAGGTCAGAATTGTAAGAATTTAAATTATCCTTTGTCAGAGCAATGTGGTTTCTTTATTTCACCTCAGATGCTGTCAGATAAAGACGCAGCGAACTGCATTAGTATGCACTGGTACTTCACAATGTGCTAGTACTGGTATATGCCCTTGCATGGTGTATCTTGGACAAAAGCACATGTTCTTAAGTAAGTACCTCTTCTATACTTTCTGAGTAGCTGTCAGACTTTTGAAATTGAAAAATCAAAGAGCCTCTTCTTCTTTCTTTTATCTAATTCATAGATAATAGGAACTTTGTTGCTTGAACATGGACTTTTTCTTCCTCATCCAAATAAGCATTGGTTAAAGCATATTATATAGGCCTCTTGTATTTCCAGACAGAAAAATTACTTCTTCCCTAATATAGTGTGGCATCCATTGTACTTGGCTCTCCACTGTTTCTGTACTTTGGGGAGCAGTGCTTCTTAAGAGCTAACTCATACATGGTTTCAAGAACCATGGATTTTCCCCTGTTCTTGTATATAGAAATAACTATGGCACAAGTAACTTCTTACTTTTACTAGCCACTGAGCCAGCCTAACTGTGGTAAGGCTTTGTTCTCCTGGCAGGTCGGTGTTACCAGGGGAAGTGTGTAGGCTGTTTATCCACAGTGCTGCTGCTCTGTGTATGTGGAGAGCACAGACTTCTGGTGTGTTCTCAATAGCTTGGTTAGGCTGTGTGTTGTTTGGGCTGCACTGCACGTGCTGTACTGATGACTGCCAGCTATCAAAAATGATCCATCTCCAACCTATTAGATTGCAGTAATAAAGCAGAAAGAACATAAAAAATTGCTGAGGCACCTGCCCTGAAGCATGCTGGAGCCCCAGCCCTTCCAAATGGTAGAAAGGTACAATGCAGCCTAACCCTGAGCATGTTAGAGCACTCTCGGATGCCCTCTCAGACGCACTCTCAGATGCCCTAGAAGCCCTGTGGATACTCAAGCAGCAGCTTTCCTTCCAAGCTACTTACGTGTCCAGCAAAGCTTTATAGTCTTGCACTCCTGAAATGAGATTGGCAGCAAACCTGCAAGTAGCAGATACAAATGGCATCAGTCTTTTGTTATTTGGCAACACTAGGCCGCTTCTGAGAGACAGAGGAGAGCCTGAATGATTGATGACAGCATAAGGAGAAAAAGCCTTCTGGCTTGGCAAAAAGAATCCCCTGGCCTCATCCAAAACACAAATAATTCATGTCAAGAGAAATATGAAATCCTAGGATGGTCCCTTCAAATGGTTAAACAGACTTCCACAGGAGGAAGCCTGAAAGGATTTATTTAGAGAATGGGTGCAGAGACTGAATATTTAATAGAATCTTTAACATGGGTTTCAATATCAATAGTCCTAAGCTGTCCAATTTATTAGAGTACTCCCTGTCCTAAGCAGATATTCTTTCTGCAGAGCTGTGGGCAGGTGTATTATTTCCTGACACTGCTCATTTGCACTGTGTCTGAATGGGAGCCTCTGCGAAAAATATTTCCTTATTAAAACGTGTGCATTATAAAATGTAAAGTGGAGGTCTTATGAAAGCTGTGTGCACAATAAAATTAGTCAATAATGAATGGGAGCATTTACAGTTATATTTAAAGTAGAAAGATATATTGGCTGTCTATGCAAAATGTTAAAATAACACATTGGCTTCAAGGTCCTGCCTGTTTTAGAATAGCATAAATTCGCATGCAGATAATTCCTTCAGGAATGAGCACCTAGAGAGTGCTAAAAGCAAAGAGGAAAATTGCCCTATGTGAGGGTAGATCTGATCTGGTTTACTGTTTTAAAAGGAGAAAATGTTTTGGCAAAGGCTGAAGAATGGAATCCTGTTTTAAGGGTATCTGGAGAGGTACATCCTGTGCTTGGCTACTTGCTTACCTTTTAACTTTTTAAATGATTGTAATTGGCCACAACAGCTCAAAGGTCAGCTCAGGGCTGGGAAGGATGGGCCTGAATGAAGTGGTGCTCTTGGGGAGGAATGATTTCTGAATTCTTATTCTTAGATCTCCTGTGTTTGTGATGCCCCTTTGGGCACCTAAGAGGGACAATTTAATGCCAGTGTGACCTTTTCAGTTTGCTATAAGTCATAGTGACAGCATGTTAAAAATTGTTTTCCTTTAAACAGTGTGTCAGAAATTAGTATTTATTTTTTCCATTGCAAAATTATTTTCTTGAATTACACAATGAAAACTTTGAAATGTTCCTTTAAACAATTATAAATCCCATGGCATTTTTTTTCATGCAATAAATGTAAAAGTAATGACCCTTTCATTTCTCAATATCAGTATGAGTAACCCCAGAAAGGGGTTACTGATACTATTCAGCATACCTAGTAGGAAATCATTTAATGGTTACAGCCCTTTATTTTTAATGAAAGTTGATTTGTCTTTTTGCAAAGTAAGTACATTTAAAATAACCTTTCATTTAGCAAAAGCTGCAAAGTTGTAGTACATTACCTCAGCTGGTCATTTACATCCTTGAAATGCTGGCGAGCAAAGATAATCGCTGGGCTGGAATTGACAGGAAGAGCTAGCCGGTTGTTGAGGTACATGTCATCCAGCCAGTAGTTAAACACCTAAGGGAAGGGGACATGAATTCTTAAAGCTATATACAATATGCAGAAAGGCCGTCTGGGGGTGAGGAGAGAATGGTGCTCCTGGTGTCAGGCATGGGCTCTGATTAATGGAGCTGCTGGGCATTTTCAGTCTGGGCTCTGTGACCTCAGCTCAGCTGAAATCAGCAGCAATTCCATAATCCTGTTTTTCAATCAATGGCAATTTACAGTGTGTTCCATTAAAAGGAAAACAGGCTTCATATTGTGGTGGCTTGGGTATTCTGTGTTTCTCTCTACAACCAAAAAAAGAGTACAACACGCTAACTGCTGACTCTTGAATAGTAACTGGGATAGATTTAAGAAGTGGACAGAATTTTGCTAGTGATGGGTTTCCTCAGGGGGCTTCAAATATTTGCCAATGATGCCAATATGCTCTGTTCTTAGCCATCAGATACCATCTTGTATCAAGACAGAGTGGGAAAAGAATTTCCTGAGTTTAACAGTTTGGTCCTGCAGATACTGGGATGTAGATAGGGCCCCTGGAGAATCCTCTCTGTGTCCACTGACACAAATGCAGATTGCTGATGCTCGACCCAGACAGACACACCTACACCTCTAACCATTTTTATTGAAAACACAGGCGTTACGGTAACTGCATTCATTTATGTCTGAGCAGAGCTTGAAGAATAATTGCTTGGAAAATGGAGGCTTTCGTAAAAAGATCAAATGTTCTGAGTTTAGCTGGAACGCTTTGCATATGGTAAACTATAAACAACAATGAAATTATGCAAAAATAATTATGAATGCATGCATCAGTTGAAAAAGCTTTCCTCTGAGATATTTCATCGCTGTTAGAACAGATGCTTCCTCCACAGTCTCTGGAGTCTTCAGGAGAACAGGCTAGAGCTGTACCCCTGGCAAGTTAAATCCCAAATAGAAATATTTCTAGTTTATATTAAGAATCAGGTATTTAGTCTTAATAACTGGCATTTAATGTTGGGGCATTTCACAAAATGGTTGTACATCCTTCTGTAATTTTCATGGTATATGTGGTTAAATGAACAGCTGTCTCCTACAACATTATTTGCACTCCTGGAGCACTATTTAAGTGATGGTTAATTTAGCCATCAAAACCATGAAGTTCTATGATTGGAATAACAAAATGAGATCGGGTGTCATTTACGGGAGAGCCCTCAGACTGTGACAACAAGTAGTTCAGAAATTAAGCACTGCTTTGAAAACAAAAACACTGCCAGAACTGTAGCTGGTTTTTCTGACTATAGCAGCAACTTGATGGAGTTTTCTTGCGAGTCACAACTGAAAAGGGAGAATCACAATTATTGACATCAGTAGCAAACGTGCAGGATTTCACTAAACCCATTAAAAATTCAGTGTCTCTCTTCCTTGCTGGGATGGAAGAACTTCAGTAGAACCAGTGTTTCTAGTTTTCAGTTGCCATATTCTAACATGGTTAATACAGGCAGGATGAACTGTGGCTTTGTGGAATGGTAACACCTACTTTATCTATGGCTTATTAAACCCTATATTGAAGTATTCAATTCCAGAATAATATGACTGGATCAGAGCTCTGGGTAGATAGCTATACAAGGCACATTTCATAGCTCTATCAGAACCCATTTTTCATTTTAATAAAAGCTCTAACTCATTTTATTAAAGGAAAGGAAGAAATGAGATCCAAAAACTATGTAATACAGTGCTTCCTACAGGTAGAGCTGACACCTGCATGCATGCACCTTGCATAAATTCCTTCATTTACGTCAACAAACCATCGATCTGAAATCATAACAAAAACATGGATTTTGACATCCTTTGAAAATTCTAGCCTAATATGTCTGAAATATTAATTCCCTTTGGTAGAATCTGATATGACCCCTGTTAGCATTGACTCACTGAAAGAAAGCAGTGATCACATACAGAACATCACAAAGAGTTTGTAAATGATCGTAATCCAACACAACAGTTAAATTTCTCATCTGCATTTGCTTACCCAGTTTGTTGTTTTTTCCCTTCTTTCCTCCAGCATTTGCTGCAAAGATTCTCCCAGGCCTCCTGCCTTTCCAAACCGCTCCACAATGACCTTGGTCTTTCCAAATTGCTCCTCTGGCACTAAGTGTTTCATGCACTGTAGGTACATGCGTAAGGTCTGCTGCAGTGGTGGGACTGGAAGTTTTGGCACTGTCTAATTATACAAAAAAAAGAAGATAGATATTAGCAAGTAATTCTACTTGTTCCTAAATTGTCATCTTTTTTTCTCCCTCCCTTTTTTTTATTCTGATTGTTATTAATTTATTGCATCCTCTTTTTAATACATCTATTCTGTTTTAGCAGTTGAGGTGCTTGATTAATGCAAATAATTGTGTGACTTCAGTAGAGTTTCATTAGATCTTCAAGTGTCTGAATTTTAGGACACAGTATGCAGTTGTATGCAATACTGAAGCAATGGCACCTCTCCGATAGCTCTATTTGTAGGCAAGGAGAGTTTCAAATGGATAGTCCAGGAAACTAGTGGATAACAGGAGAATATTCCTTGTTAAAAGTGTTTAGAAATCCTAGGACATAACAGGCAAAATAGGCATAATGCAGGCATATAGTCTTAGCTAGACTCTTGGAAGTCTTCAAGTACATTACAGCATAATAAAATAATGCATTAAGAGAAGGTATTTCATAGAATAGGATCATAGAATTATTTACTGATTTACAATTATTTACTAATTTCATTAGTAAATAAGTGTGTTTAGCTTGTGATCAGTAAAACTGCGGGTAAATACTTGTCTGATTGGTAATATGATTGATTATACAATTGCAGAAACAGAAAACATGCAATTCTGTCTCTTAGTACTGACTACATGCAATCCTAAATAAACCTGTGCTTTACTCTGCCAAACTTCTGCTGTTGGCCAGCCTGGAACCCTCCTTGAAGGTTTCAAGACAAAGCATTTCTGTTCATACTTGCTTTGTCCTCATCTTGTTTGGAGCAGGAAAGCATTGTGCTCCAAGCATGGTTCCTCAGGTTGGTGGACATGTCTCACAGTTGAGAAATGGTCATCTAATTCAGCTGTGCTTGTCCATTAGAAAGTAGTGTAGACCATAAACTCCTGGAGGGTTTATTTCTCTAATTTGATTTTGCTTGTCTCCTAAAGCAGGTAAAGCTCAGATTTTTTTACTAGCTCTTGATGTAGTAGACATTTGTTTCCACAGGATTGCAGGACCATCGTGTGATTTTGGTTGGAAGGAGGTGTCTGGTAGTCACCTAATCCCACCTGCTGCTCAGATCAAGGCTAGCGGAAAACTCTTTTGCTAGTGCATGCAAAGAGGGAAGAGGTAAAATAAGTGCTCTAAAGAGAAGTCAGGGAGTGGGTATCCTCTGAGCTCAAATACCAGCTCTGACTTTTGACATCCACAGAAAAGTCAGTGCTGCATTATGTTCCCTATCTAGAAACCAAAAATTTCAGAGACTTACAGAAAGTATAATAGGATTACCTGTTATTAATGGAAATGCAAATCAGTCCAGCCTGTAATGCATCCTGGATCTCAGAAGTAAAAGAATAGTAATTATACAGTTTGAAGCTATGTTTGAAAGGGTGTATCTCTTCTGTCATTGATTTCTTGGTTAGTGGAAACAGATGTGCCAAATAGTTGGGGTTTTTTTTGATACCTGGCTTTGGCCCTGTCTTTCTGGGTAAGGTTACTGTGCAGTTCAAGACAAGTGCCCCAGAGAAGAGATATAAGCACTCCCTGAAACAATACCTTAGCCTTGGCCATACTGACTACCATCAGTGGTCCACCTTGGCCTCCAGTCGGGAGGCTTGGAGACACACCATACATAATGCCGTTGTCTCCTTTGAGAACACACGCAGAATTAGTCTCAAGGAGAAAAGACAATGTAGAAAGAATCGCACCCCACCTATACCACCCAAGGAGACCTTTCGCTGTGCTTTTTGCAGCTGGATTTGCCTATCCCACATTGGCCTTTTTAGTCATAAGCACGCTTGCTGTAAGCGTGGGTAAAGCCCTTCCCAAATCTTCATTCGTGAAGTCAAGCCATGATGATGATGACTGTGCAGTTCATAACTCTGCTTAGGAATAAACCTTTACACCTGAGGGATTGGTTACTCACAGATGTACACATATCCAACATCTTTTAAAGCAGATTGAGAATGAATCGTGATAGTTTGATAGTTCTGTACTATTAAGAAATAATTACATGCTATCACTGGTTGTGTAGCAATATATCTGATGTTGTTGTGTAATAATATTTCACTTACTGGAATTCTTCCCTGGCTGTTGGGAGGAAGAGTATATTTGGATATGAGATATGTATTTGGTTAGAAGAGATGTCTGGTAGTCACCTAGTCCCACCCAGTAACATTAGATCAAGGTTCCTGACTATAAACCGCTGCAGGATAACTAGTGTTCCCTGAAACGCAGAAATCAGCTCTGGAACAGAGCTTGGTTTACAATTATTATATTAATTTACAGCATTAGAAACTGTGAAGTCATTTATTATCTATCTTTTTTCCCTTTTTTTCCTCCTTGTTTTGTTTTTCCGGAAACAGTCACTTACTGTCTCATCTTTGCTGCATGTATCTTTCTCTTTCTTCTGCATGTTTTTGTCTAGGACAGGCATTCCTGCATTTCTTTTAATATCATTTATTGAGGACAGAAGTTGAAGCCACTTGGGGGCACTTACGAAGCCTCACGCCTCAGTTCTGTGAATAGAAGAGATTTAAAGTCCAGTCAGTATCCATCATTTATAACCAAAGTGTACACAGGGAGTATCCCTGCACAAGCATACACAGACAAAACTGAAGAGAAATAGAAGTACAACATTCAAAAGTAGCTGAACGAGCCCTGTGGAGATTGATCTGACATTGTTTGTTTCATTTAGCTATAAATTTATTTATCCAGAACTCTCTGATGCACATAAATGGTCCCTTCTTGGCATGGTGTATTTTGTCACTCTAATTTATTTCACGATGCACTGTGCTGTGATCTGCATGCTTTGTATGACTGTTATATGTTAACTGCAGGAAGCAGGTGACATCTCCGAATGTACTTATGTCGACACAGGTAACAGTAAGGTTGCCGTTTTCTGTATAAGGATTTTGTACGTCCTCTCTTTATCATTTTATATGAAAGCACCATGAAAGCCTTTAAATGTATTTGTCATTGCACGGTTCCATGGGCACAGTAAGTCGCTGTCATCTCTGTGTTAAAGATGTGAAAGCTGTGTGAAGGAGCCTGATGAAGACATATCTTTGCCCTGCAGGCTAGAAGCTTGTGGGGTGCCAGTGCTTTGGGGCACAGGTCTGGGTTGGCAAGCTGGCTGCAGGAGGACCAGGAGGGGTGGCATGCCCTGCATTTGAGACACTTCACATAGCAGTCTTTCTAAATAGCATATAAAGGAGATGGCTTAATTTGACAAAAGTCACAGAAATCCTCTGAGACAGAGCAAATATTTTCACGTCTGTCTCGCTGGTGGTGTGCTTATCTAAAGATGCTTATTATGCCTTCTCTGTACAAGAATGAGCTATATGACACACATATTTCTTTTGATACAGTAGGCCCATACCAAATGATTGTCCTTCAGTTACTGTGGTACAGCTGAAGCAGAGTAAGTTCTACGTGTTCAGTCAGGTCTTGACAGGTCATAGGTTTTGGGGTTTTTTTTTTGTTTTGTTTTGTTTTTGATTTCTTTTTAAGTAGTTTGCACTGTGTGCATGCAAAATAAAAAAGATATGCTGACGAGGTCGAAAATAATTTCCTTTCTGAAACCCACATTCAAGACATTTGAATTATTTCTGTAGGAGCTTTTAAGTACAGTTTGGATAAAAACTTAGAGTGTATGAACGTTTTGTTTAGTGATGGGCAGGGAGGCCTGTGCATTATTCCGCTCCTGAGGAATCAGCTGTCTAACCTTGTGGCTTCAGTGTGGCTCTGCCAGTGTGTATGTGGTCACTAACACCTTGTCTTAGTCCTGTCCTCTCCCTGTCCTTCACTGGCTGCCAGTGGGGCCATGTGCTGTGAAGTAGGTTGTGTAAGCCTGCATAAGGTCTCTGGGGCTCTGCAATGAGCTGCACGGCAAACTCGTGTTGATCTGTCATCTGCTCATGATTTCAACCCAGGTGAGAGACCATTTCCCTCATGGAGAGGTCACATTAACCCACTGCGTTGCTCCGCTCCCTCTCGTGTGCTGCTCAGGTCTCACCACTTAGCTGTGTGCTCTATTCCAAGCAATACAGGTTCAAGGCACTTCAAATGATGGGCATGTCCTATAACTCGTGGAAGACTGTAGCTTGCCCAGTTTATGGATTGGCCTCAGCTCCCCACCTGCACTCAAATACAGCTCAGAGAGAAGCCTTTTTGTCTTCAGAGCCCCTAAAACTGTATTCCCCTGAAGGAATGTGCTCTTCTCACTGGTGTTCTTCTCACCGTGACTTTGGCTTTCTTTCCTTATGGTTGGTTTTTTTTTTTTTTTGTCAAACTGCACTATGAAGTCGCACCGACTACAATTCCATACTAGCTCTGTGTCTGCTAGTAACAGACTCATATATCTGTAAAATCAGTGTGATAAAGAGTAGCCTGAACTATACCTTTCTCTGTCATGCGGATAAACTGAGGTTTTGTCTCTGGTTCAACTGCTGCCAGCTTAGCATCATGGCCAATCCTGCATTTGCTTTAAAGGACAAGGAAACTGACACAAGAGAAAATCCTTTAGAAATTCAAGATGACTTCAAAGTTGCTTACTGGGATGGCTATGAGGTGTATTGTGAAAGTTATTAGGCAAAAAAAAGATAATCCTAGCTGTTTTTATTTACAGCTGACTTAGTCGAGGGGTGGGGTAAGCAGCTTAGCAGGGTGGCAGAGAGTCACAGAAGGCTGGGGAGCTAGGTGGCCTTCCCCACAGCTCAGAGCAGCAGCTCAAACACACAACAAAAGGCGCTGATCCCCCTGTAAGCAGATAGCAGAGAGGGACTGAAATAAGCCCATGTGCTTATACTTGAGTTCTCCACACAGCGTGGACTCGGGAGGCGGCTTGCGGGATATAACGTTGTTGGGGCATTACACTCAGCCCTCGTCTATTCATCCTCGCTCTCAGTGTTACCAGGAAGATAAAGTTCTCAGGAATCGTTACTAAAGTTGAGGCATGTATGCGTTAGCAGCAATACGCTTGTGAAGCGTGCACTGCTGCTGCTGTTGACATGACGAGCGGAGAGCGAAGCCGCCCTGTCGCCTGCCGTGAGCTTTCCCGCGGGCCGTTCAGCACCGGGACCCGTCGGGATCCCTTAAGCTCCGCCGGAGCTGCCGGCGTGCCCCGCTACCTTTCCGCGACTCCGCCCCGGGGTTGCCCCTTCTCCCCCGGGCCGCCCGTGGCAGCGGGACTGCCCCGTGGGCGCGGTGGAGTCTGGCGAGGGGATGAGAGGAGCCCTCTCTGCTCGCGGGACCCTACGCACCCGCTCCCTCGCTCTCAGACCTGCGGCTCTCCCTCCCCGGCACTTGCAGCCGCGCCGTCGGAGCGGCGGGAGGCGCGCAGCCAGCCCGCCCGTACCTGCTCGTCGGGGCGCTCCGGAGCGGCTCCAGCCGGGCTCTGCGCGTCGCGGCGCCTCTGTCCAAGGTAGCGGCGCCTCTGGCCAAGGTACCGCCTCCTCCTCCGCGGCCAGGTCGCCTCTGGGCGAGGGCTTGCGGAGCGCTGCTCATCCCCGCCGCCGCCTGGCTCCTCCCCGGCCCCGCCCGGCCCGGCCCACCCCTCCCGCGGCGCTCAACAGGCGCTACCAGCCGTGCCTGGGGCCGCACCAACTCTGGTAGTGCCCCTTATGCAGGCTGTGCCTGGCGGGGGCACCGCCGCCCCCTCGCCCTCCGTGTCGGCTCCGTCCCGGGGGGGGGGGGCGGTGTGGAGGAGTCGGGCAGAGCCGCGCCCTCACCGCCGTCGGGGGCGGGAAAGGGAGCCCCTGAGGGTTGCAGCTCTCGGTGACCACAGGGGCTGTCGCTGGAGTCGAGCGGTGTCGCCGTGGGGCTTCTGCGGCTCCTGAAAGCTCCGTGGCCGAACGGGGCGGGCAGCACTGCTTGTGGCTGCACCGGCACTACGGCCAAGAGGGGCGGTAGCCCGTGACGGGGCGGCAGCGGGGCCGGGCTCTGCAGGAGCTTCCCTACCGCCGGGGCGGCAGTAGCACCGGACCGTGCCGGAGTGGGGCGGTGGCCCGGAGGAGGCGCCGCTGTTGCCGCTTAGCGCACAGGGAGCGGCTGCGGTTCGGTGTAGCGGGGCTCAGATACCACCGAGTTGGCCATGGCTCGTTCGCCAACCCCGCCGTGCCAAAGCACCGCCGCCGTGCTCTCATGAGTTCTGCGCCGCATGAGCAGCTCCGCGACCGCCTCGGTGGAGGAGCTCCGACGCGGCAGGGGAGCCGCGCGTCCCGCGGAGCTCAGCGGAGCCGGCGGCAGGTTCTCCGCGTCTCCTCGCGGCGCCCAGCTCCCCGGGGACGGGTGGAAGCCCTTCAATACATGCTGTGGACGTTTAGCTAATTCCCCCCCCCTTCTCGATATTGAAAGTCATTTATTTTGTTTCCTGGTGAGTCAGGAATTTAAACAAACGATTTTATTTTAACTCAAGGTAAATTTACAGGGCAAAATATGCACTTCGGTTCCATTGTAGTTGGATCGAAGGTTTCCACTTTTTGCACCGTCTGAATGAAGCACATCACCCATATTTTGTTTTGTTTAATCCCTGTCGGCTACACTGAAGTGGGCACATTGCAGTTGGGCCGGCATTTCAGCAGTGCTTTCCAGTGTTGTGTCTCTAACTGCTGGACATGCCATTTTTTTTGGAATATTCGAAAAATGAAATTCACGATTGTGAGAATTAAAAGTAAATCCATGTGAGCCTACAAGGAGCTGTTTATAGGTGGTAGATAGCACGTTTGCAGTGCGATCTTTTTTGCTTGGAGATCATTTTGTACCGGGGTTTTCTCATGGGCAGTTCTGGTAACCGATGAGGTTTGTGTTACAAAGAATTGTTACCGTAGGGGTTACACTGAGGGTTTACAACCGGCTCCCTCCCTCAAGCAGCCCTCAACAATGAAACAAAGACAATCGATCTCCTTCAATTCTGTTTATTCAGATCGTATTCTTGTAGTTTGGACTTCAACATAATACAGCATATTGCATTACCAGAGAGCAGCACAAGAGAGAGAAAAAAAGTACAATGTTTCAGTTTATTCCAAGGAAGAACAAGACATTGTGATAGTTGTTGTTCTTTTTAAAGATACGAAACCAACTGAAAATCTAAGTATATGTACACCAGATTTACTAAGTCCCTGAATATACCATTCAAAATTTTACACAGACTTTTTTGCTTTTATTTTGTACAGAGATATACAGTACATCACACACAGCTTCAGCTTGAGGAAACTTCGCACAATTACACCCCAGCTATGAGGCTGTCGGGGTTTTTTTGTTTTGTTTTTCATAGTTTTTGTTTGGGGTTTTTTGTTTGTTTTTGTTTTGTTTTTCTTGTTTGGAAGGATGCCGTCTAGATTTATGCCAATGATTATCCAGGTAATTTTCTTCAGGATTGTCCCCTCATTCCCCTCCTCCTCCACCTTACCAGAATGCTAAAGGAAATACCGATTAGAAATAAGTCTAGAAGAAAGCCATTACATCATGACAAAGGTTAAACTGTATATATTGCACATCAGTACAGAAACATGATGCAGTAACACTCCCCCCCCTTCCTTCTCTCCCCCATGCCCCTCCTTGCTCCTCATGCTGGGTGGCATAGGGGAACCTAACTGTACTCATAGTCTGATGAGTCCTCCTCAGACACCCCAGCCAGGTCTCTGCGGTACGAGTCCACACCATTCTCCTCCATCCCATCAGCTGGGTGGAGGCTTTTGCCCATGCCTTTACGCTCCTCCATTTTGATGGTGTCGTAGAGTCCCTTAGGTCCTTCTTCAAGGAGAATGTTCCTCTCTGAGTGAGAGGGCTTCATCTGACAGACGTTTCTGAGTAAGAGAAGGACAGGGGCGTAAAGCACGTTGGCAAGCCCCATGCCCAGGTTGAGCTGCGCAAAGCCCATGGTATGCACAATCTGGCCAGCCACAATGGGCCCCAGGGCATATGCCACAGAGTAAGAGATGTCTGCAATGGCATAGACGCTGCCGTAGACAGAGACATGGCGCACATCCACCAGAAAGGCCAGAGTGGGCAGCAGGGCTGTGTCCACCAGGGCGATGCCGAAGCAGATGCCACAGAGGGGAACAATGACCTGCCCAAAATTCCTGCAGGCCGGCACCAGGCAGGAGCTGGCGCCGATGATGGCCATGCCCAGAGCCCCATAAAACCACTGGAGGTGGGGGTATGCGGCGGCCAGCCGGACCGTGACGTAGACGCCCAGCACGTGGGGGAAGAAGGCGGGCAACCAGGTGAGGCCCACCTCCCACTCGCTGGCCCCCATGGAGTCCTTCATCCAGTTGGCGATGGTGGGCTCCAGGAAGGCCAGGGGGATGTTGCAAGTGGCCAGGGCTCCTGCCACCACGGCGATGTAGGGGTCTATCATGAGGCGATGGATGGGGGTGCCTACCGGCATGTTGGCCCGCGCGGCAGCAGCCCCTGGTGGTGCCAGGGCCAGCAGCAGCAGGCCGTCGAGGAGGCAGACGCAGGCCAGCACTAGGAAGGGCACCCGCTTCCCGGCGAACTCGTAGAGGACGCCGCCGAAGGGGGGGGCCGCCAGGCTGCCGAAGGAGATGCAGGCCAGCGCCGTGCCCAGGGCGCGGCTCCGCGCCGGCTCCTCGGGATAGCGGTCGGCGATGAGGGCGATGCCCGCGGTGTCGGCGAAGGCCGAGCCCAGCCCCTGCAGGCTGCGCGCCGCGAACAGCGTCGCGTAGTTCTCCGCGAAGGCGAAGGTGGCGGTGGAGAGGAACATGACGGCCAGCCCGGCCAGCAGCGGCGTCTCGTAGCCCACGCGGTCGATGAGGGTGCCGCTGAGCGGGTTCACCAGCAGCTGCAGCATGGCCTTGGAGGCGAACAGCACCCCGATCTGCACGTCCTCGTTGCCCCCCGTGGCCGGCGGGTACCGCGCGGGCAGGAGGCTTCGGTTGCCGCCGCCGCTCCCGTTGCCCCCCGGGGGCGCGGACGGGCCAGCGGTGGCCCCCCCGCCGCGCATGGTCTCGATGTAATCGGGGATGATGGGTACGATGACCATGTAGAGCATGTTGTCCAGCAGCAGCGCCACGCACACCACCACCAGCAGCAGCCTCCGCTGCCGCCTCGCCTCTCCCATGGCGGTGCCCAGCCGCTGCCGTCGCTCGCCCACCGCTTCCGAGAGCCGCGCCACGGCGGCCCGCGCCCGGCCCGCGCCCCCCACCTCCGACATCGCCCTCAGCGTCGCTGCCGCCCCGCCGCCGCCCGCATGGGGCACGGCCGGGGCGGCCCCGCAGCCTCCTCCGACCGAGCCGCCGCCTCTCACCTCCCGGCGGCCGCCGCCAGCCCGCGCCGCCGCTGCGACGTGGCTCCTAGGGGCCGGTCCTCCATCACCACACTAATAAGTGCCGCGCACGGAAACCCCACCCGCCCCGCCACCGCGCCAGCCCCGCCGCCCGCCCGCCCGCCCTCCGTGCCCCGCCCCGCTCCGCTGTACCGCGCCGGCAGCCCTGCCCGGCCGCGGTAAGTGGGCTGCGGGGGGGGGGGGGGTGCCGCCTGTCCCTGCCCGTCGCAGGGGTGCGCCGGGAGGGGGGGGGCGGTGGGGAGGCGGTACCACCCGCGAGGCGGGGGCTTGCCAGTAGCTCTCGCGGCCCCGACGGCGCGGCTTTGGAAGCGGTCCCAGTTTTCTCGGCAGCTTCCCGAAGCTCGCGCTCCGTCGTGTCCCGCTGGGCCTGGGCGGCGCAGGGGCAGCGGGCCGGGCCCGACGTGCGCCCGCCGGTGCTGCAGGCAGTGGCCCGCTCTCCTCGCATCCCTGAGGCGCAGTTGCCCCAGAGGGCGGCCCCGAGCCCGGGTCGCCTGCCCGTGCCGGTGATGACCGGCTCGGCCCCCGTACGGTGCGAGCTGCAAAGGTCCCGCCGCCCCGGGCCGGGGCCACAGCGAAACCACTGGCCCCTCCCCGGGCACCCTGTGCTTCCACCGGCTGCCGCCGTCTAGTCCGAGAGCCACCCGCAGGGGCTGCCAGCCAGCACCCGGCGCACTCCGCCGCCGCGGATGCCCCCCCGCGACGGCATGGCCGGGCCAGGGCGCGGGGGCCGCCCGGGGGTACTCAGGCTAACCGGGAAAGGGGCGAGACAGGGCCGGGCTGAGCCCTGCCCCTCCTCCGGCGGTGTGTGCCCCTCGGTGGCAGCCCTCCCACTCAGAAGACCACTGAAGCTGCACTGGAAAACAGAGCGCAACACAGTAAACATCTTCCTGCGTGCGTGCCTGTGTGTCTAACGCTCGGACAAATACCGGGGAAGTAATCCTTGGGCACGGTGGTATTACATCTTGCCGGGACGGAGCTGCAGCCCTTGACCCTGCGGAACAAGGAGCCTCAGTTGGTGCAGAGGCTTTGGTATTAGGGGGATACTTCCTGCATAAAGCAGAGGGTAAAAATCATTGCTCCTGTAGCAGAAATTATACGTGGGCTGATCCAAGAGGATGTCGGCAGAAG